GGGGCCTATCTGAATTTCTGTCTTTGAAAGATATTATTTTGTAATATAACTGAATTTTCTATCCATACATATAAATTTTAAATATATTAAAATTATAAGGCATCTTTGAGTAAACTGCGAGTATCATTTAAGTAGGCTATGTCGTGGCCGGCCAAGTGTCCTCTTTTTTGGAAATCAAAATATGGTCACCCTACTGTACAAGCAGCTCATTACGCTTGTTATGCCCCATATTTGCATTTATTGTTGGGTGAAGACTTCTGTTTTTTGGTGAAACTGCTTTATAAAGTGTTTTTACTGGTTATAATCACCTGGTCCATTTGTTTTGGAGAGGAGAAGTCCTCTGCGGATAATTCAGCTCCCTGTAAAAACCTCCTAAATGTCGCGGCTCATCTTTCACATTCCAAACAGCATTTGGAAAAACACCAATTTGTTAAATGAAACTGCTTTATTTATTGTTTTTACTGGTTTAAACCATTGGGTCCTTTTTGTTTTTTAGAGGAGGAGACCTCTGCCGATAATTTCTCTCCTCTTGAAGTTCTGGATCAAAAATAAGATGAGCACACTTCTGCAGGTGGGCAAGCAGGCCTTCTGCTACCAGCCAAACAGGGTAGTAGAGACAAATCTGCTTTGTAACGTAAAACTGCTTTATTTAGTGTTTTTACTGGTTTAAATCTGCTTTTCAGTTTGTTTTGGAGAGGAAGAGACCTCTGCAGTAAAAACCTCCTGAACAATTAACACTGAAGGAATTCTAACCAGAAGTTTCAGCTGGTTGCAGTCTGCTATCCTCACCGCTAGATGCATCGAAATCCCCCTAAATCTCACACACTAAACCTTTAACATACATCTGTAATTTATCTACTAAGCATACTTGTTTTAACCCAAATCATAATCTCGTCCTAAACCTAACCAATCTGTGACCGTTTCACAGCATTAATTAGTAGTTACTGGATGTAACTCTAGTTCTATGAGCATGTGCATCTGTCGCTGTTACTCTCCAACAGTCATATATGTCGTTTTCTGAGTCGTTGGCAAATGACTGTGAAATGCAGCCGAAAGCTCACAAAACTGCAGCTCTCTTTATCATGTATAGATCATTTATATTTATCTTGAGGGACCCCTTAAACTGTATAAACTGCACAGCACGTGATGTCACTCTAAAAGGTTTCATGTCACTCCACTGCAGCAAACACGTGCATCCTTGTGTGCATGCTAACTCTGTACAGTGCCGCTATGAGTGAAACTAAATTAAAATTAAATCAACACCTACATGAAGTTCGATTTATATCAAACTGGCCATCGCTGCAGGACTTCTGCTCTGTACGTGTTTCTGTAATTGTGTCCACTTCTTGTATGTAAGAGGACATCTGACATAAACATCTGTACCATCCTCCCTCATAGATGCACCTGTCTCACACAATGCCCCACTATCAGCCCACCCTCCACCTGTTATTAAACCCACAGCTCCTCTGCTTCACTGACCCCTCCTCCCCTGCAGGTAGTCATTGATCTGAACTCCCGCGAGGATCAGATAAGACCAGGTCGACCCCTGGGTCACAGATCCAGCCCCCTGTGGCACAAAGACCACTCTGTGGGTCCCTCTGTCAGGACCCTACCTCCGTTAAAGCCTCAAATACCTGCACAGGAACCAAACTATGATAAGCTCCTGCTCAGGTGTCACCTGATAGCCAATAAGACCTGAACTGAAGGGGCTAAAGGTGCCCCACCTCCTCAGTTGGACTGATAAACACAGTTAGTGGAGCTGAGAGTTTATTCAAGGCCACAAAAGGACTAGAAAAGCTTCCACCCTCTCTGTTGACTGCTAATGTCCATCGGAGCTGCGTGTGATTCCTTACAATGACTCAGGGTTTCATGCTCATCTTTATTCAATGAAGAGACACCAACTGCTGCAGCTGCTGCCCCACAAATAAGGTAAGATTTTATTCACTGACTCAGTTTGTTTGACATTTTAAAGTTTTGTTTGGTTAACTGTTGCGCTCAGTTTTTGGAGGCTTTAATTCATAATTACAGGTCTTAGTTTGTGATGTAGTTGCTCTGTAATTTTGCATTGTACAGTGTTTGATTTAAGCTAAAATGGACAGAGTGTTTCAGCCCCTTTTAGCTTCTAGTTTTGGTTTTGTGGCACATTTCCTGTCTGGTTCAGTCTCAGTGTTTCCAGCAGCAGCAGGCAGCTGTTTTCATCGCTGCTCACGGAGCAGCTAAAGAGAGAGATGTTTCCCTCACGAGTTGGTGGCGACCAAAAACAAAGCTAGAAGAGAGTAAATATTGGACTTGAGATGGGAAGATTATGTTCTGTGTTTGCAAGATGGAATTGGGCAGCTAATTTTAAACTTACTAACAACTTTAAGGTGGTTATAGCACACACTTTGTGTCTGTCTGCTACAGTAGCTTGTTGTCGAGTCACCAGTCTCCCATTGTGGCCAAAAAAAATAATTAGGTCCTAATTCAACTTTAGTGAGATCAGATTGTCACAAAGAATAATTGTAGTTTCCTACAATTACAATAACAATGACAATAACTTTACACTAATAAATTTTGTAGCTGGGCGGCACGGTGGTGCAGTGGTTAGCACCTTCGCCTCACAGCAAGAGGGTTGCCGGTTCTATCCCAGGTGTCGGAACCCTTCTGTGCGGAGTTTGCATGTTCTCCCCGTGTAAGCGTGGGTTTCCTCCAGGTGCTCCAGCTTCCTCCCACAGTCCAAAGACATGCAGGTTAAATGGTGACTCTAAATTGTCCGTAGGTGTGAATGTGAGCGTGAGTGGTTGTCTGTCTCTATGTGTCAGCCCTGTGATAGTCTGGTGACCTGTCCAGGGTGAACCCTGCCTCTCACCCAGTGTCAGCTGGGATAGGCTCCAGCCCCCCCGCGACCCTCAAGAGGATGAAGTCGTTAGAAGATGAATGAATGAATGAATGAATGAATGAATGAATGAATGAAATTTTGTAGCTAGAAATGCTAATGTGCAGACAGCACTGAAGGAGACAATAATGAGTCATTTTTATAATGGTTATTACACATTCAACACATCACTAAACCGTCAGATTACATCCTTATATAGCTTCATATACAGGATGCTGAAGTTCAGCCCACTGCTCAAGATGGCTGGTTCCACTTTTCTTGGTTTAAACATATTTCTTTCATCAGGTTTTTATCAAAAAGCTACACAATGTTCGTGAGGCAGCTACAGAATAGTTATGTTTTCGTAACCTTTGAAGGAGCAGTTTTAATCCACAGTCTGCTATTTTGTAGCCCAGAATAGACAAACCAACATTTGGCATTTTTGCATGGGACACTGTAGTTCTCTTACACCAGTGATCATCAACTGGTGGCCTGCGGGCTTCATATGGCCCACCAAAGCTTCTGATAGCAGCCTGCCGAACGCTAATGAATTTAAAAGACGTTAGAAACCATTTGTCAGGTTCAGGTAAGCTTTCTAGAATATATCAAAATATTAAATGCCAAAAAGTGACAAATCAGCATCCTGAGTGAGCTATAAATAACTTACAGATACACAATGTGGCGTGGCCCTCAGTCTGTGTCTCTCTCCATGTCTTTTTTTTTGGGCCATTTTGCCTTTAATCGATAGGACAATTAAGTGTGAAAGGGGGAGAGAGAGAGAGAGAGGGAGTGACATGCAACAAAGGGCCACAGGCTGGAGTCGAACCCAGGCCGCTGCGGCAACAGCCATGTATATGGGGCGCCTGCTCTACCACTAAGCCACCAACGCCCCATCTCTCTCTCCATGTCTTAGTCTTCAGTCCTGATAATTTTGCTACTTTAATGCATAAAGTTCAAGGTTTTCAGGTCTTGTCAGGTTCGGGTTTTTTAATTTAACCCATATTTTGCTGGTCGGGTGGCGCGGACCGGATAATAGAACCTGAAATAATTCCTGTCTTTTATGATGGACTGCTGCCGCCATATCTGCATTCAAGGATGGGGACTAACTCACGGCTCTTATTCAACTCCTTTTTTTTCTTTTTAATTCTCCATGTGCTCTGACATAACTTTTTATTTCATTATCTTTTTTGATTATTAAAATAATTTTATCATTTGATCAAACAATTATTGACTAAACTATTAATCTGTGTTTGACTATAAACATATATTTTATTTTATTTTATTTTTTTAATTTGAAAGTCCAGCCCTTGTACAATTGTAGCTGATGACACTTGTCCTGCAAGCTTGGCTTGGAGAAGTTTCAGTCGGTTGCAGTCTGCAGCCTGACCACTAGATGCCACCAAATCTCACACACTGGACCTTTAAGGCCCAGACAGCCATTTTGATTGACAGCCACTAGCATTTTTCCAGCTGCTAAGTGTGTTAGCAGTCAGTTTGCAGACTGTAATATTTCTCTTGTAGCTGTTTCTCCAGTCTTTAGGTCTCAGATCAGCTAATAACAAGGTAAAGTGACATTTGACGTATTGTAGCTCTTATTGGATAAATTCAGAGACTGGAGTTAAATCCTTTTTAAATGAAGTCAGTGATTGTGGTGCAGTGTTCTTCTAATTGCAGCAATGGAGCGCTCCAGTCTTTGTCATAGCAATTGCAGCTGAGGAACCCATTGAACCCATTCTCACTCCCAGGTCGTCAAAAATACTGACGCTTTGTCACGTCCCTCTTGGATGCACAAGGCAGCCTTAAGTGTCTGTACGAGCCATAGTGGTACCAGGGGGTCGGTATGGATGGGCAGATGTGTCAGACACAGGACTTTCACCCAGGAGACTGCTATTTGTGTCCCATGTCAAACCAACATCAGCTTTCTTTTAAGCCAAACATGTTTTTCCCTAACATAACCACGCAATTTTGGTTCCTAAACCTATCTGAAAGTTTGTTTTAAAAAGACATTGAATGCATGTAAAGAGCAGAAGTTCACATATGTAAAACTGATGCTGGTGGAGTACCGTGAGCGTCATAGTCTGAAGCTTAGCACCTCAGACCAAAATATAACACACAAGCAGACAGAAAACAGGAAATAAGAGCTCCTGTTTTGCACATGCATGTTCCCCTGCTAGTGTCCCCACCTCCTCAGGTCATTCAGCCCACCACACAACGACTAACAGTGTCTCCTTATATTTCTCTCCCCCACTGTGAGCCAGACAGTGACATACACATTCTTATAGACATATTTTTAGTATAATAAGATGTGGAAGTGGTTAAAAATACCTCAAAGGTTCCCCTAGTGTGGACTCATTTGATACAAACCCCAGAGATCATATAAATGACTCTTTGTTGCCATTATGTTGCATTAAAGAGCAGCATTGACCACTTCAGTTTTAAGATGACATTCAAGATGAAATAAAGCCATATATATAACTGCATTAATGAGACAGCTGACCTCCTCTGTGCTGCATTGATGCCTGAAGTACCGATAACTCCACTGCTCTAAGTGAAATGTGCCGGGGGCCTGAATAACAGTAATGATACACTCTGTCACCTCGCCGAGCAGAGGGAGCCACAGGTGGGCTGAGCTGTTTGAAGCCATTAAAGACACCAAACCAGCGAGCGGAGAAGGTCGTCCGTCTCGTCTGGCGTGGCAGTAATCAGCGCTGTAATGACGGGGGTAATTTATGGAGCTGGGTGGGAGATGTCGGGGTAAATTCAGGTCTCTGTTACATGAAAAAAGAAAATAAATGGTGATATTTCTGGCCCCCTGTGATGAGCATGTTCATTTCTTTGATTGGGTATAAGGTCTCCACATCACCTGAGTGGGTGTTGAGGTGAGTGACAGAGTTTAAGCCAAGCTTTTGCAATAATAATGATAATAATAATGTGGAGCTGTTTGTGCTGCTATATTACTTCACACCTGCCTACAACTGCAAAGATGTTTCATAGTAAAATGTTTGTGTCTTCTGTCACCTAATTAAAAGTTCATGAAACAAAAGTCTTCTCCATCTGAATGCAGGTTCAAGTCATGTTTCTGATATGGATTTTCATGCTATCTGCTGTTCCAAACGGTGAGTAAGCACACTCATGCTACAGACGCTAACTTTCATAAAACAAACCTTTTTGTCATATTTGCTGGAACTGTCACTGTTTCCTGACAGTAGTGCATGAGACAGATAGTCATTGCTCATAATCTGCGGTCAGATTATCTAACAAGGCAGTGCTGATCAATTCTGATTCTGTTACTGCATCACGTATTTGTCATCTCAAATGTTTTCAGAAACATATTTTAGTCTACTTAGTTCGTCCCAGCTGGCGCCAGACGTTCATATGACTCAGAAACATGTTGAACTCTTATGCTGTACAAACGTTAACTTTTGGATCGAATAAAAGTCAGGTTGATGATATTTTAGAGTAATGTAAAGACATTAGAATTTTATGTTGTGTAGAAGTTACACTACAAAGTTTTGCGGATGTTGGGTTTTTGCTTCCCTTCCTTCTGTGTCAAGATGACGTTGGCATGAGACGTCTGGAAGATGCAAATTTTGGTAACTGAACAACACAGTTAAAAACTAACAAAATGTTAACGTCATATGTCATAAGTGATCCCACCTGACCTGCACCCGTGATTAAACCCACCCAGAATCCAGTCCCGCACATTAAGCTGGGTTCTCCGTTCTTGGATTCCACATCCAGCGGAGGAGACGTCTCTTTGACTGGATGGTGAAAACATTCAATCACTGCCAGGTTAGGAAACACTTTAGCATGCTCCTTCCACAACCATCAAACCTCCATAGGATCTGAACTCCATGTAGGCTGCCACCTCATCCTCAGGCTGCAAAGTTTCATGGCTGGAGTCCTCCACGTCGGTGACCAGTGTGACAATGGGTTCAAAGGTTCAACATGTGTCATTGACTTTAAAAATAAAAGGAATTGTGGCTTGATAATAGTGATTCAGATGTCAAAATATTACACATATACTGCACACTTTATACTTTGTTTTATTCAAAAAAATACAAAATATATTTTTATTTTTGTTATATTTTTAGTTCATTTTTTACCTGTGCCTGACAGCTGCGTTAGAGACTCCTCAACTCTGATTGGTTGTTCTCATTCAGCCCTGGAGGATTCTTGCAAATGCCATAAGAAGCACTGCATGGAGGCAGAGAAACGGGCTGGTTTTTTTCTCACAGATCATGTCTCATGTCAAGATACAGTGACAGTTTCAGCAAATATAACAAAATGTATTTTTATGAAAGTAACCAACTACATTTTAATGACACACTCGGTTGCATGTGGACCAAAAAATTAATTAAAAATAAGTTACAAATATTAACAAGCTGCTGCATTTTTCTTTTACTACTCCTTTTTCATGTGGACAGAAAACCTCACTAACATTGTTTGGCTTTTTGATAAAAACCTGATGAAAGAAATATGTTTTAACCTAGAAAAGTGCATCCTGTATATAAAGCTATAAGGATGTAATCTGATGGATTAACCATTAAAAATGACTCATTATTGTCTCTGTCTTTAGCGCTGTCTGCCAGCTCCATCTTCTGCCCAGATCCAGGAACCAGTGAGCAGAATGCAGATAACGTGACTGGTGAGGATGAAACATGATAGTGATTGATATGACTGTCACATGAGAGGCATAGTTTATCTTAATATTAATGAACGAATCAGCTAATCACAGTACGTGATTCATTGCTTCACTGAGTTCAAACAATCAGTCATGTGATTCATGTGAGACAGAAAGGTCAGAGTGCTGCAGGGGCTTCACTGTGTTCACTGTCATATACAGATAAATATCTAGGCTAACCATCAGTTAATGTTTCAAACAAGATCTGCCAGGGGCGTCGGTGGCTTAGTGGTGGAGCAGGCGCCCCATGTACAAGGCTGTTGCCACAGCGGCCTGGGTTTGAATCCAACCCGTGGCCCTTTGCTGCATGTCACTCCCTCTCTCTCTCTCACCCCTTCATGCTTGTCTGTCCTGTCAAATAAAGGCTAAAAATGCCCAAAAATTATCTAAGGAAAAAAAAAAAACACGATCTGCCAATCTGAACGGTCTTTGTTAACAAAAATGCAATGTCAATATATGTAGGTAACATAGGTTTTTAAAGAATCAGAGAACAGGCAATTCTTCTATAAACAGATTCTCATAATCACACTGTCTTTGAAAATGACATGTTGAAAAATGTGGTACTGTAGCTGTCCTGTAAAATGGTCCAGTTTTCCCTCAAATTTCAAACACAACAAAATGATTGGCGCCAGGTGAGGTTATTATAATATTTGAAGTTATTTGAATAGAAATTGAAAATTTTAACAACTGCTCGGACTAAATAAATGAAAGTAAGACTCTATATATCCACATGTATTAACATGATGTTGACATCGAGGGTGCATGTTTGCATGTGGACAGTAGGGACATGTCCCCAGAAACATACTTTGTAATATTACTGACCTTAACCTTAGACCACAAATTTCTAATCAGTTTATTCTTCAGTCTAAGGCAGTGGATGTTTGTGTCAAATTTACAGATTTACCATTAAGGTGAGATATCGCATTCATAAGAATGAGACAGACAAGGTCAAAGTCACCTTGACATTTGACGACCAAAATCTAATCAGTTCATCGTTGAGTCTAGGTGGACATTTGTGCCAAATTTGTAGAAATTCCCTTAGGCTGATATTGAGTTCATGAGAAGAGATGGACGCAAGGTCACAGTGACATTGGCCTTTCTTGATCCTTGATCATCAAAAAATAAATCAGTTCATATAAAGCCCAGATGGACGTTTCTGCCAGATTCCAAGAAATTCCCTTGAGGCGTTCCTGAGATATCACGTTTTCAAGCATGGGACTGACAGACATCCCGGAAAACATAATGCATCCAGCTACAACTATTGTCAGCATGGATGCATAATAACAGGATAAGGTGGAATTTATACTTCTGCATCGATGTAGAGCTTACGCCATACCCTACGCTGTAGCCTGACGTGCACCTCCCCAGAAATGTAACTACGCGCTGCAGCAACACAGACCTCCTGTCTGTCTCTGTAAGCTGAAACCATTTCCTTCAGTGGAAACAAAGCTTTGATTTACTTTAATTTCACAGATAAGAAACAATAAATTGTGAAGACAATAAAGCCTCCACTAAAATAGCATTTTAAGTCTTGTGTGTGATTTATCCTGGCTTCATATGAGCAGAGGAAATCTCTGCTAGCTGCTAGGCTAATTTATACAATGTAAAATGCCATAGGCTTGTGCTAATAACATTAGCATGTTGTATTTGTGGCGAAAATGAACATAATAATTGGCGTCACTGCAAACTCTTAATCCATCGCAATGGTTCAGCATATTTACTTATATATAAACAGAAGTCAAAAACGGAAATTTGCCTCCTCCGCCCAAATCAAACCGGAATGCCAAAAAATCAGGGGTCTGCCCCCAGAGGCTTTATCGCCGAAGTCAGACGCCGAATACAGCCGATTAGTTCTGAGAATGTAGTGAAGCTGATTTGTGTACTTGTGTTTGAAATTGTCTCTATTAAGCCATGTTTAATGTGTGTTTAATGTGTGTTTTGAATCATCTAAAGTTTACAGCACTACACAGAAACCCCGCCGACTAGTGTTTTGGAGGTGTAACTGCAGAGTGACACAGACACACCACCGCACAAGTATAAATGCTCAGATTGGCGCAGGCCATCATGTGTGCAGGGTATGGTGAAGGGTCTGCTGCAGCTAATGTGTGCTGTGCTTAAGTCTTTTTCTCTATTTTGACAGCTTGTCTTTATTGCAGTTGTTTCAGCAAATCCCAAGAAAATTCAGATAATTTGAAATATAATAACTTTGTGTTCAATAAATGGACTTCGGTTTTTGGTTTGGTCAGAGTGTCAGCAGGCTGTAAAATGGCTGCAGTGTCTCCATCAGGTCAGACGGTCATTGTTCAGACTGACGATTTGTTTTCCCCCAACAATCATCCAGCTGCTTTAACACCGACTGATGTTTTGTGATATTTTCTGATGTTGTTGACGTCGAGGTAGACTGATTCACACGCTGTGATGCTGTGGGACACCTATAGTCCTAATCAGCAGCGTGGGCTCACCTGACATGTGGAGAGCTGTGGCCTAAATAATTTTCTGCCCTGCATGCTTCTCTGGACTCGTGTTATTGGAACCTGCCAACAGGATTATCTGTGATTAAATCACTCTGCTCTCACCCTGCAAAGTGGAGGAAATGGAGTTTTTCTTACCGCCTCTGTGTGTCCGTCTCTTCTTGTTTTCCTCCTCTCGGTGCAGATTGTCTCGGCCTGCGCTTCACCTGGCTCCACTCGGTCTTTGATAATTTCCCTTCGCTGCTGAGTTTTGCTCTGAAGCTCCGCTGTGCAACGGGGCTTTGTCCACGCGACCTCGAAGATTACGGCTGCTCCTGCAGATATGTGGCCGTTGGAAACCCTGTGGATCCTCTGGACATGTGAGTAAGACTCTGATCGCAGCAGGGTTCGGCTGCAGCACCTGCTGAATTTAAGATTCAGCATGGAGGCTTGCTTGAATTCAGAGGCTGGAGGCGGGCGTGCGCCAAGTGGACCAGGAGAGTTTGAAAACACAAATGGGCAGAAAGATTTTCGAAAACCAGCTGGAGAGAAGTTTCAAAACATGGGAGAGACATTAGGTTCAGGTTCAGGTTCAGGTTTGGGGTACTTTAGTTGGACCCATAGGTAGATTTGGCTTGCAGTTAAAAGCACAAGGCATCCACTGACACAGTTTCAACTATGTTGCTAGAGAAGATAACAGGTTGAACCCTATGAGTCAGATCCACCCCTCAGCTCCCGATGGCTGTTCCATCAATGTGTTAAAAACTGAGTAGCACATGGCAGCATGGTATGCAGTGTATGAATGTGCGTGTGAATGGGTGAATGTGACTTACCATTTACCAAATATGGTCCCCTCTGGCACCAAAAACCCAAGACGGCGATGGCGAAAAGGCCGAACTCAAGGCTTCAAAACAGGAGTCCACAAACCAATGGGTGACATCATGGTAGCTCCTCCTTCCTTATAAAGACCCCTAAGTTCTCTCTCCTCTCTTCTCTGCTGCAGCTGCTGTGAGTCTCACAGGCTGTGTTACCTGAACGCTGCCCCCTGCAGGCAGGAGCTGCCTCTCCTCCCCAACAACTTCACCTGCTCAGCAGCAAACAGCACCTGTGGTAAGACTCAGAGCTAATGTGAACAGCTTGACACTTTAGGACATACACGTATCTGCTGTCTTGCTGAGAGTGAGATAAGAAAACCTGTACATACAACAGGTTATATATAGCATATGTTTTACCCAAACTGTGTCCTGCCACTTTTTTCCCAGAGGAAATCAAATTTGTGACACTAGTGTCTGCACATGTCTCAGTGTTTACTCGATGACAGTACTGTCTATGGACATTAAGTAATGGTCTTTCTCTTGATCCCGGAGATGCTGGTGATTGGTGTCAGCAGAGGTTGTGTGAATGTGACGAGGCTGCCATCGACTGCATGACTCAGAGCTCGTACAACTCAACACTGAGAGGTTTCGCTGAGTCGTCCTGCTCGGCTACAAATCACACAGGTAACTTCATTCGAGGAGAAACAGCAGCCTGGTGAGCCTGCAGAGTGCAGGGTTACACACTGCTGTCTGTGTGGACGTTTAACAGACTGTAAGTGCAGGTGAAGCTGGGTAGTAGAGATTACATCAAAATCATTTATGAAATCTGTTTTTTAAAACAAATTTTTTCTAGTTACTTTCAGAAAATAGGTTTGAAGAACTTATTTTAATTTAATTTAATCCTGTGGCTCTTCTAGCCTTTTGAAATGTTATCAGACTGACTGGATCTTGATATTAAAGAGTCATTTCAGGGGGTTGTGTCACTCTAAAAATGTATCTACTGATTTATAGACGTCCCCTCCCAAATTTAAGTCAATGGGAAAAGGTATTTTGGGCTGCAGGGCATCACGTGACAGACCCCAGAGATTGCAGTTCCACTTTTTGGCCACTACAAACGTTGGTTTAATGGTGCGTTCATTTTGTATTTGGAGGTCGGAAATTCCCAGTTCCCAGTCAGAAGTTTAAACTCGAACGCACCCTGAGATCAGATCTCCAACTCGGAACTTGAAGCAACCGCATCAGCCCAATTCAAGATGGCTGCCGGTCACATACGTAGCGAGTAAACACTCTGCCGAAGTACTGTTTATAGCAATTTAATCTTAATTGTTTTACATTAGGTCAGCCTCATCTGTGGCTTTCATCAGTTGGAGTGCATGATGGTTTTGAAGCTGTCTGTACTCTTTATTGCGGGCGACATGTTTTTCAACTAGAATGCAAAAACTGTTGTCAACTTGGAGGTGACGTCATTCCCACCTCCGACTTCCGACCTCCGAGTACAAAACAAACGCACCATAAGGCCCACTGCGCTTCCTGGGGGCCTGAGAGTTGCAAAAATAAGGAAGACCCAGACACACTGACCAATCAGAGCAGCCTGGGCATTTTTTGGGGGGGCTTAAAGAGACAGGCGTGTTTCAGACAGAGGGTGAATACAGGTGTTCCAGCTGAGACAGTATGAGGAAAATAAAATGTTTTTTGACCATTAAAGCATGTAAACAAGTTCCAGTAGAAACCAAAACACAAGTGTAAACCTGAAAATGAGAAGAATAGGTCCCCTTTAATTTAGAATTATAGAAGATATATGGTTAGCCATACAGAAGCTGAGTCCTGTGTTTGACGTCCTCACGGAGGGATTAAAATGAATCCACGCTGCCTGACAGAGCAGAGACCCACCAACAGCATGGCTCTCTCATTAGTTTGATTCTGTGTTTCAGATGAGCTCAGCAACACCGTGCAGACCGGCGGAGCCTTCACAGCAGCAGGTGAGTCTGAGTGACGTCAGCGGAAACTCTGATCGAATGACGCCGCGTCAGGAAGCTCAGAGGACACAGGCACCAAAAATGTCCCGTCAGCTTTCTGCGGAGAGTGCGTCAGTTTCTGAGCGGGTCAGCGGTGTCACATCAGAGGGAGCGATTGATTGGGCAGGAGCGCAGATGGCTGAGTCACACCTCTGTGGCTCTCAGCCAATTAAAACAATGACCTCTTGCCGTTTAATCCTGCAGCTTCCTGCCCACGCGCAGCTGGAGGCAAAAAATCAGGGATTGAACAGAGTTGCTTTGATCTGACGCTGAGTCTGAGAGGAAGAGGAGGAGCTGAGGAAGAGGAGTTTATTATTAGAGCGGAGAACTTCAGAGGAAAGTTGTGCAAAGCCTGTCGGAAGCGCGTCAGACAGTTGAGTTGAGTTTTTCTGTTTGAATAGATATTTTACTATTTAAACTTGAGATCAACTTTAATCATGCTTTTGTCAATCTGAGCCCTTTGGTTTCCCTTTAGACTCTGACAGTCAATATTTTAGGAGTTCTGGTGCAGCCTGTGGATATCCAGGCCAAGACATCCTCTTCCATGTGGTCACAGATTACAGTCTGAGTAGAAATCTGAGACGTGAGAATGGACATTCTGCATATGAATGCAGAAACATTTTGTACAAGCTAAATCGTGTCAGGCGATTGCTGATGGGCTCCGAGATGAATTTCGACCAATGTGTTCGCCTCTTTTGTTGTCCACCTGTAGTCTGGGGCTGTTAGTGGCCATTTTGGTAAGGAACCGGAACCAGGGCGAGTGAGACAGGATCCGGAATTCAATGGATGCGCCTTTCCGTCAAAGTAAAAGCACCAAGCTAATAAAAATGCGGTGAAATTTTAATTTAAAGAATATAATTTACAAGAAAAGCCCCAAGCCATTAAGTTAATCGATTTTCTTACACCCCTCATCGCCCCAAATCGATGGTGCGCCAGAATTTAAAGTTTTACTTTGGTGAATTTGGTGAATTCCGGATCCGCTCTCTAGACTGGAACCAGAATCCAGATTAAATTCAGAGTGAACAGAAACCAGGCTCTTCGCCTTACGTGAAGAGCCTGGTGATGCGAGGCTAGTCCACCTGAGCCTCTTACCTGCATGCAAACATGATTGGTTAACGCGACATGGACTACATATGGAAACCAGGGGACGTTCAGCTCCAACAAAACAAAGCTATTTAAACAGAAATGGTGTTACGCAAGCATAATGTGAAATAAAAACAAAAAAACGTTATGTACAACAGTAATGATTTACAAGACATTTATTTATATAGACATCACTGATGACTGGATAAAACCTTCAGACATGTATGGTTGCCCTTGACTACGAATTTTCATCAGTGGACTAGTCTCCTGCATGTTTCTGATATGAATGTAATGAATAAATGATATATTTTGGTGGTTTGAGTTGAAGGTGTGAGAAAGAATAGTATCAGTAACATTGTTAACACTGTGCTACATTACAGAGAAATACAAAACCGTACTAATGAACCTTCATTAATATAGGCCTATATTTTATCTCCAAGTGCACGTCACACACTGAGCGAGCCGCCTGTTAATGACGCTGTGGGCTAATGGGCATGTAGCTACTTCCATGTTTCACATGATACGTCATGTTTGTAGTCGACCAATGAAGATGAGTTTACATATCACCTTGGGTTCGTCCTTCACCTTCTCAAAATGATCCCACACTTTGGATTTCCTGCCCGACATGTTATTAACTAGCCTGTGGAATAACCGCAGGTACCAGCCCTGGAGATTAACCTGACTCCTGTCTGACTGCTGAGCGTGGACACTTCCTGTGTCTGTCCTTTCAAAGTAAACTCCCACATGGTCCAGTCATATAGGTTTGGATTTATTTTGTCAAGCAGCTCCTGATAGAGTCTCACTTTTGTTTTTTGTTCTTTTAATACTGCTGACTGATGACCTTTCTGGTCAGCTAACACTTGGTCGACCTTCAGGGGGCAGCCCTAGAAACGTGTCATTCCACCGCAAAACTGTAGCACAATGTTTTTTGACTGAATGTGTCCCAGAACACTTCTGATGTCATAATCTTGTCTTGACTACAAATTCTGCATTCATATACAGATACCTGTTAATACAGATTATGCTTCTGTTGATGATTTGATGTCAGTGAAAAGCAGGTATGACATGTCTGATCTACAGCTCTGAAAAAGCCAAATAACTGAGTCCAACAAAGGAAATTAGGAACTGTATCAGACAAATTGTGCCAGTCAGAGCATGTTATCACCTCTAGCTGGCAAGATTATTAGACTGAATTTTGTTACTTCTCAAGAGTGTGCAATGAGACAACAACTTATGCAGCATTCAGATTAAAAATAGCTGTACGTATATTGAGAAACATCGAGGGGTTTTTGTTGGTGTCTGTGTCCACTTTGAGTCCAGTTTGTGGTGCCTGAGTTGGATGGTTTTTGTCACACCAAGTGAGATAAAGTGATTTATAATGCTATGAGACAGAGTCATCAAGATTGTATGGCAGAAATAAGCATCCTGCAAACAACTGTGATTAAATAACTGAATTCAAACAGCCACATTTATGTTGAGCAGACTCTTTGGAGTATATTTACACACAGAGAGTCTGAAGTCGTCTTGTATCTGCTGGTCTCATCCTGTCCTCGTCCTTCTCGTCTCCAGATGTTCTCTCAGCAGGAAATGACTCTGTGAGCTTCCAGCTCTCCAACTCTTCGTATCTAACAGCAGGTAAAAACCTTGACTTTACTTTTCAGTTGAAAAAAATACATGTAAAAAGTCATAGCCTATATTTGGGACAGGCCTTTGATTCCTGTCACACAAAACTGTTGCTCAGCAAAGATCAGGAAATACAATCAAATCGTTTATTTAAACCAGTATGAGTAATACTCTTTTTAAAAGTAGGCTTCAGATAATATATAAATTATGAATCGATCATTTGATCAAGCTCTGACAGACAGCACATCAGAGACAAAGTGTTTTGGCACCCGGCATACCGACACCACTTTATCCTGTTAAAACAATCCTCACAACTTGGATTATTTTTACGAGAAACGTTTGTGATTCTTTTGATGCAAGGACCCTGATGGACTAAAGGAGCATGAATAGCTTACAGGGTAATCGAGGAATGGACACATTGTTCGTGTCTTTTATACATCCAAAGAACTTCTATAAGAATGAATTGCCTGGCAACTAGACCAGGCCTCTAAGTGAGACAGGCCCTTATTTGTCAAAATGTGCAGCCACACTGTGTTATCAAAAGGCACCGAGCGTTTAACTAGGACTAGGCTTTTAATTGAAGTTTTACAGTATCTAGTTTCAGTGCCTAAAATTTAAAATTCTTCTTCCTTTAAAAAAAATATTTTCTGACATTTTATAACTAACAAGGTTAATGTGTAAATCCAAAAAGTTTGTCAGAAGCCCTAAAGTCCCCCAATTACCTCTAGACCTGCTAATAAAGGCCTGGTGTGTATCAATACACTGATCAGAAGAATAGAGTGATGTTGCCCATCAAATTTAACAGCAGAACCTCAGCTACAAGGCTGTAAAAAAAAACTTTTTACATGCCCCAAACTCAGTTTTAACACCAACTAAATAAACAACAACGACAACTAACTCCAACAGCACCGATATCCTGACCCACTCTGTATATTTCGGGCTCTAACTCGACCACATGTTATTCAAAACACACACCATTCATCTCAAATGAAAGCTGAGACTCCACTGTTTCCACATGTATACTCCAAATAACTCTCCCTTTAACCATCACAGAGCTACAGCCCAAAGAACAAGAACAGAAATCTCTTTGTCAAAATATATTTGTAATATGGCTCTTACCTTATTAATTTCACCGTAAAATGCGCATTCTGCTGTTCATTCACGCTCCGTTTGCGTACTACCGAAAGTTGTCCGTCATTCAAATGAATCCGGGCAGAAAAAAAGGTTCCAGGGGAACAAAAACAATGACCACTCACAGCAGCCGACATCTCCCCACAACACATTCTGCTGACTCTGATTGGCCGTCGCAGAGATACGGGCCTCCAAAGCTCAGAATAGAAACAGGTTTGAATGTAGTAGGTGCATATTGGTCAGTTTGGAGTGGGAAATAGAGTAAAAAACAACGAAACAGACAGTTGTATGTGTATACCCTAAACATCAGTAGGGACTTACAGAAACAAAAAATGAAGGATACAGGATTGTACATGACAAAAATCACATGCAAACATGGAGCAGTTTTGGAGAGCTCGCCTGAATTTTCTGTACTAAAACCTCTCTAATATTGTTCTGCTTCACTTTATCAGAATCAACCTTTGCAGAGTTAATGTTCACATATTGTACTATGATGTGATCGAGGTTTAGAGCTGCTGCTGCATCATTCCAAAGAGACACTCATCCTGAAAATGCTTTTTTTTTTTAGGCGAAACTCAAAATGTTTCATTTGTGCTGTGTGCCATCTTCATTTACTCCTCACATATAACACATATACCGATATTTACACATCTTAACACATCTCACAAGTGTTCCCTTTATAATGACACCAAAAGTATTCAAATAGACCTTGTGGTTGCAGAGATATATTCATTTAATTATGGGTATGCAAATTTCGAGCAGAGGCCTATAAAATAGGGTCAGGTACCATAATGAAAATGATCAAAATGCAGCAGTGACTTGTGACCCTTTAAAAGCCCTCTCACAAAACTAACAAGTTTCACACTGTATGTTTATGAGTTGTAAGCAATTTCCCCAAAAAGTGATGCTCCCTTCTCAGACTTTTTTTTTGGTGTCAAGTTTTAATTATCATACTACAATGTTTGTTCAAACAAAAATAGCCCTTCTGTTTTCATTCTTTAAGGATCTTATATTTTCTGAGACGGTTATCGCACCGTGATACCACTGCAACCCTAACATATATGCATAAAGATTAACCACTGAAACACGTTTTAAAGGTGAGTTTTAACAAATTGTTACAATTCAAAAATGTTTCTTGGAGGCCTGGTGAGGTTAAACTTTACAGTTCTTAAGAGGAAAAACAAAGATTGTGGAAAAGTATGCAACAATTTACAGAGATTTGTGTAGCAGAAATATGTTTATAGGTTTGTTAGTTGATGTCCTTGAGGGTTTCATTCACCACTGCTCTGATGTATTGATTGCACAAATCTATATAAAAAGAGAAATGTAAAGTCGATTAGTTTGTGTGTAAATCCTGCTTAGAATAAAATATCTTCATGATTTAGTTTAGCAGACTGTAGGAGTGTTTGTGTAGCCATTTACCCTGTAGAGAATCATTTAATTTTAATTTGGGAAATCATGTTGTTAGAGGGAAAACATACATGGATGAATACATTTATTTGGGTTATATATCTTCAGAGTCATAGCTTCGCAGAAAGACTGGAAAAGTAGCTCCATCAAAGCTGTCTGACAAATATGTTGTCTGCAGAGAGGTTAAATCAACACAATGAAGTGACATGGGTTGATTCATAACATCCAAATAATCTTTTTAAAACTATCATCTTGTAGGTTTTTAATTAGTGAAGCCACAGTGTGACGCTCTAATGATCCCCGTCGTCATGATCCACACCAAAAAAGATCTTCCGCACCACTCGATATGTTTACTTATCGAGTTTACTTCAACTCAGTTTACTTCAACACGCAAAAAAAATGGTACAGAAACAGTTGTCAAGTTCCAAAATCCAATTTCCTGACTCCCAAATCCAAACTCTGAGTGTAAAAGAGGCAACTAAAGGTTTGCAGCAGCGATATTAGTGCCCTAATCTCAAAGGTTGCATGAGACTTTATGCATTTAAAATTATCTACACATATTTTAAGTGCAAGAAATGAGATTAATAACGTTTTAATGAGCTGCATCTTCCAACGACATGCAAATGCTGTGAATATTGTTGTTTTACATATGAACTTCAAATATTTCTTATCAATTAGTAGCTACGTACACAAAACATCAATAAACTGCGTTAATGCTCCCACACTTCACAAACTGTATCTGACAAACCAGCTCTCTGCGCCTCAGCTGTGACTCAGACACTGAAATGATCGGTGTGTGTTGGACTCGACTCGCTCTGAGCTGTTACTGTGTCTTGCCGGCAGAGATGGACCCACTAATGACCAGCAGGGTGGATAACCAGAGTGACACCGCGAGGCTGGACAGCGACCTCACCACCCCACCGCCACGCCCGCCCCCCCTGCTGACGCCTGCAGGTATGCCCCCTAATTGGCCCGAGCCAAGGAAGCAGGAACACTGAAAGTACACACACAACACACACAAGCCCTGCAGAGGTCCTGATGTCACAGAGGTCACAGGTGTGGGACGGAGAGAGGAGGGCAGAAAGTGGATGATTTAAAGATAGAAGAGTCTCACACACACACACACACTGCAGGCAGGTCACCTCTCAGCTGTATGTGTGGTTCATGCTGTGAAAGATGCAGGTGTCGTGTATCATTTTCAGAAGTGGGCCCCTTGTCCACACCAAATATAATCCAATTAATCATATTTCCACATGTATTTTGTTTCTCTTCTGTAAAGACCTTGAGCTTGTCAATGAGGGCAAGCCACATCGCAATATTGCACACGTGTGCATAGCGATGGCGATGCTTAAAAGATATATGGTTCAGGCCTACTTCTTGGCATCAGTTTTATTTGAACATGCTAGCATTAGCATTTAGCTCAAATCACAGCTGTGCCCCGGTGCAGCCCTAAAGAGCACAGCTGTGACCTTGACTCATTTTTACAGAGTAGTGAGAAATTATTTGCTGTGTTCTTGGGTAACTCACCACCATCCATGTGTGTGTGTGTTAATAGTGATTTTTGTGTCATTACAGAGGAGCTTCAGGGAGGTGACAGTGGCGCAGCGGAGGTAAAAAAGGAAGAGACGGCGCACTCGACTTTCATCTCTAAAGGTAACAGTTACATCATCTCGTCTCCATCTGCACATTCTTCCTGTGATCCTCTCCCTGAAGTACTTTTCAGGCAAACTTGTCTTTTTCCAAACTGCTCATAATTACATTTGGCTCGAGCTGACCATCCTGCAGCTTCCAAAACACCAGAAATAATTTCCCCGCTGCTCCTCTCCTGCTGCTCAATGACTCACTTGGCTCAGACGTTTCCGGTCGCTATCTTATGTGTCGCTGCTTTTACAGATTTGAATGAGAGTGTGACAGAGGAAGCACTCGAGCAGGAAGAGATAAATAAGGATGAGACGACCCACAATCCTCCAGCAATCAGCCGCGGTGAGCCAATAACACGGTCTGTCTCCATCAAGAATATAGACAGGGATATTCTCGTAGTGTTTTTTATGAAAGAACAGTTGGTGATGTTTATTTTAACTTTGATGACGTAATGGTGTTCACATAACCGAGCAGTGATTCACCCAGTGTCTTATTCATTAAAACTTTTGAAATGCTGCTTGTCTGGTTGCTCTCAAGTGCCACACAGGAAGTGATGCATTTTATTTCTTTCTTTTACAAACTGAATAAAGTTAGAAGGATAGAAAAATCAAAACTAAACTTCAGTCACACTGAAAAATACACCTTCAAAATGACATTTTTTTCACAATATATAAAATACTTTTCACGTTCTCTGTCGCAGGTTCACTTCTGTTCATCCACAGCAGAGAAACACTGAGTGCAGCAAAACCAGAGCCGACCAAACTTCCTGTACTCAGCTTTAGAGATGAAAACACGGCCACATCTTCAACACCTTCGACTTCACATGCTGGCATCACAACTTCCTTTGAGACTACAACTTTTCTGAGGACTACAACTCCCAGAGAAGTGACACCAACAGGTCTGGAGGAGTCATCTGAGGAAGGTGATTAAGAAATGAGGGTCGTCTGTCTTTTGTTAAGTTAGTCGTACAGCAAGGTCCCAGTGTGGATCCACCATGTAACTACCCGGTCCCCATCACTGAGTCACGAGACATTCTAGGTGGCTGCATCTGTAGAACTAAAACTGCAAAGTCCGTCTGAAATATATATGTAGATTTGTTTTAATGCTAAATATTGTTCAATATTGTATGAAATCTCTGCAGGTTCAGTTGTCATAACTTCATCACTGACATCAGCAAAACCACAAATTAGTCAGTCTGAGAGAAAGTCATCTGAAGAAGAGGAAGACAATAAGAAGGATGGTGATGGTGATGATGATGGAGAGGAAGGGGAGCAGGAAGCTTCAGATGAGCATGGTGAGTTTAACTGAGCAAATGTCCTTTTTTTCAATTACAGGATCTTCTGCTTTCAAAATGATTGTTTCATTTTATAAAAGTAGATTTTGGGGATTTGAGTCATGTGTCTTATTATATGTTTGTAAGAGCCTGTAGGTGTGAATGTGAGCGTGAAATGAGCTCTGTCTCAATGGGCTCTAGTTTCCCGGCGCAGCGCAGGGTGGCGCAGGGTGGCAAACCCCGCACAGAGCTAGTTTCGAGCAGCGCAACCCGAGGCGCGCTCAGTTTGGTAGTTTGGCAGACCGAGGTGCACTGAGATGGGTGTGGCAGCGCAGCAGGGGGAGGTGTTGACAGATCCAGCTTGGCGCAGTGACAGTTTGGTGCCAAAAGGCTTCGCTGAAGGTGCGCTAAAAGCTCAGCGCAGGGGGAGCACAACCGGTGTAAGTGGAAGTTTGGCTGACCGGCAGACAGTGCGCACACGTCACCAAAACCTCACAGGCAGGTTTCCAGAATATCAGGCACATTAACGATGCAATAAATACCCAAAAACCACTATTCAATGCAACTATCTGTAATCAGCACATAAATGTATCTCTATATCGACTGTCCCGTCACATCTGATGTCAGATCAAAGGGGATTGGCACAGTTTGGCACGTTTGGCACGCGTAATGGAAACCCAACCTGATTTGATTAACACAGCTGCAAACTAGAGAGCGCGCGTGTGCACGAGAGAAATGCAACATTGATTTACAATTGTGGTGACCTCCTCCCAGGCTACCTTTGCATCATCAGCCCGTGGAGGTCTGCTCGCAGTTCCGTATATTCAGACACTGCGAGCTTGGACCTCCCGGACCAAAACATCAGTTTCCTCCTGGGAGAAGTTTGGCCGTCTGACGCTGCTGCTCTCTTCTGCCATGGCGAATTGAGTAAACTCTCATCACACCTTCGCGTGGCGCATTTAAGGGCGAGGAGAGGGGCTCATTTGATTGGTGTGATGTGTGTAAAACCCACTCCACGCTTTCTCTCCTCCCTCTTTTTGACTTGCGCAGGTAGGAGGGACGGAGGGGGGAAAGAGGAGTAGCTGCACCAGCGCGCACGGTGTGCCAAACTTGCCAAACTTGCAAAATCCGCCTGGCCACACCCAGTTGCTGCCTCGCCCGGTCTGAGAAACTATAGCCCTTTGTGTCAGCCCTGTGATAGTCTGGCAACCTGTCCAGCGTGTACCCCGCCTCTCGCGTAATGACAGTTGGGATCGGCTCCAGCACACCTGCAACCCTGCACCAGGATAAGCAGTTGCGGAAATGAATGAATATATGAATGATTGTAAGACCTGATGAATCCCATCAGTACAACAGTGTCAAGTCATACTACCCTGTTTACAACTGGTATTATTAGAGTTCAGCTTTGATCGCAGCCAGTGCGTCTTGGATCTGATTGGCCAGACCACATTGGGAGGCAGTCTGGGATGCGTATGGCCACATTCTTTCTGCTGTGTTTATACTAACGTGTCCTGGGCCACATTGAAGGACCGCCTACTCAGCTGACGTCCTCTGTGTAACATGTGTGTATGTGTGTGTTTTACCAAGACAGTTGATCCACAAAAGCTTGTGAGATGATAGAATGATTTCCTTTGTGATTAAGTGATCCTTCACGTTGCTGGAGGGGGCAGTGATGGGGATATGAGGGCCAGCTATTGCTCAGCCGCTTTAGGGGAACCATCTCGACCGCTGCAGCGAGGCATCACCTCTATACACTTTCCACTAAGCTACCGACACCCCGTTTGTTTAGCATTTTAGACATATTATACAGACTGAGATTTTACATTATTTATAAAACACTATAAAGACATCTTACAACATAATCTGTTTTGTTGTTCTTCTTCTTCTTTCTCAGTCATGGATATGCCTACAACTGTGTTCACAACTACAACTGCCAAAATGATGACGACGCAGACTGTAACCACAGAGGAGTCAAACAAGGTGACGAGAAACTCGACACCGTCTGCAAGGAAAACATCCGCCTCTCAAACAGGTCAGTTTTTGATGTGGATTTTGTTCTCCGAATTCTCTCTCCTGCCTGCAGCACTAAAGATGCAAATCTTTACGAACACAAATACTGAGCACAGTGTTAGTTCAGGCAGGACATGATGTCAAGCTCAGCTCACATCCCAGCTACATCAGCTGATCTCAAGCAGCCCAATCAACTGATGGAGCAGCTGATTAATGGAAGGGAGTCAGCTGATATATCACATGATTAATTTCTATGCGACCAATTGGCAAATCTCATTCAGGCGCTCTATTTAAATTGCTCTGGCCTGCCTACTGTTGCTGCTTCCTCTGCAAGCTGCTTTGCAACCTGCCTCCACCCCAGCTCCTCCTTTTCATGCTGTGTCTGACTTATTAATGTCATTTCTGTTTGTCATTGATGCTGCTCTGTTCTGTTCCCGGGGGGTTCTTGCTGCTGCTCTCCCTAAGTTAGGCTTTCCATGCAGGCGCATGGAAGGGCAGAGAGGTGTGCTCGCTCTGCCTTGTGTCTTTCCACGCAGGCGCATGGAAGGGCAGAGAGGTGTGCTCTCTCTGCCTTAGGCTCTCCTCATTTGCGTGTGGAAGGGCAGAGAGGTGAGCTCTCTCTGCCTTATGGCTTTCCATGCAGGCACATGGAAGGGCGGAGAGGTATAATCTCTCTGCCTTATGGCTTTACACACAGGCGCGTGGAAGGGCAGAGAGGTGTGCTCTCTCTGCCTTATGGCTTTCCACACAGGCGCGTGGAAGGGCAGAGAGGTGTGCTCTCTCTGCCTTATGGCTTTCCACACAGGCGCGTGGAAGGGCAGAGAGGTGTGCTCTCTCTGCCTTATGGCTTTCCAATTAGGCACTCGCAAGAGGCTTTCTGCGTAGGCCCAAGGAAAGGCAGAGGGGCCCCAGAACAGAGCCATACCGCCGAATATAATACTGCAGATGGAAATAAAGTTTTCTTTGACGGGCTGAAATAGTTTATTTTGAAAAACATCAGTGATTTTTCAAACAGATGCTCACTGTTGTAACAAACCAACAAGATAACTCGGGGTAAGGGATGCAACATGAAGCCAATGTCATAAGGCAAACACTGTAATTTATTGTTCAGAGTACAGACAAAATGAAATTACTTAAACACTCAGAAATGCTTAATAGCTTAATTATGAATGAGCTGAAGGATCTGGGTAGTTCCCGATTGGCGGCTGCAATCCACGTCAAAGAAAGGGGAGGGGTCAGCCGAAGATGGCAGAGGCTTAGGGCACAGCCACAGGTGGGTGGACCGGGGACAGAGCCCAGGGGGATTCCCTTTTTGGAGGAACGAGGTGACGTGTGACCTGCAAGATGACAGAGAGGACCGCACTGCATAAAACGTGTCAACACAAGGCACAGTCACCTGACAACCTGAAGTTTTTATCAAACAAATAGAAGGAAATAATGCATGTTAGGAAGCACTTTTTAGCAGCAGGTTATTCTATAAAAAAAACAGTGTGTGTTTAAGTGAAAGTAAGAGATGTGAGAGTTTGAAATAAACTTCATTAAGTGTCACATCCCTGCTGTCAGGTAAAAAAAAACCCATCTGACTGTTTAAAGTGTCTATTTTCTTCTTGATGTAATTACACACGGAGGCTGTGACAGGTGTCTGAGGCCTGAGGGCGGGATGCTCATTGCACATTTAAATTACCATGGTTATTTTTAATTCCAGTGAGAGAACAAAATAAGTTTTTCTTCCTTTATTGCCTGGATTGATGAAGTGGAATGTGTTAACATCTGACTTCTTTGTGTCCTGCTCTTTTCAGGTGGAGGAGGTGTCACCTTTACATTCACACCACCAACACCTTCAGCTTCAGAGGAGGGCGGAGAGCAGAGTGTCGAGGAGAACTCCAGTTTTCTGAAGCCAACTGAAGGTCAGCCCTCTGCTATGGAAATGTGTTTTTTAACCTCATACAAAGTCAGCAGTTTGTTCTAGAAGGCAGGTTAAACAAACTCTGAACCCTAAACTTTGGCATTCAGAGAAGTTCCTATATTAAGTTAGATAATGAGATTGATTGATAGCTCACTCATGTCTGTATGGTAACTATGATAATATGAGCTTAGCATTAATACTCAGAGCCAAAAAACAGCCTAACACATCCCTTCAGGGTGGATCACTCAGCACATCCTGTTTCCTGTTACGCTGTTTTATGACATACTACAGTACTAGAACAGTACGGCTTTTGTATTGACAATTGTATGACATTCCATTTTGAATAACTCAATATACTACGGCCTTTGTTGTTTACATTGTTTATGTCACACAAGACAATGACTTTTATTTACATTTTTACCACAAACTACGCTATCACTTATTTATTTACATTTCTCTTATAATATATTTTTACATTTACATTTAAAATTTCTTCATTTATATATTTTTTATATTTTTTAATGAGATACTTAATTAATAATTTTCTACGACATACTACACATAAACATTTTTTTTCATGCTATACTATGACTTTTTTTCATGATTTTGGACGACATGCTATACTATGACTTTTTTTCATGTTTTTTGACGACATACTATACTATGACTTTTTTTCATGATTTTGGAAGACATGCTATACTATGACTTTTTTTCATGATTTTGAAGGACATGCTATACTATGACTTTTTTTCAAGATTTTTGACGACATACTATACTATGACTTTTTTCATGGTTTTTGACGACATACTATACTATGACTTTTTTTCATGATTTTGGACAACATACTATACTATGACTTTTTTTCAAGATTTTTGACGACATACTATACTATGACTTTTTTTTATGATTTTGGAAGACGTGCTATACTATGACTTTTTTTCATTATTTTGGAAGACATACTATACTATGACTTTTTTTCATGGTTTTTGACGACATACTATACTATGACTTTTTTCATGATTTTGGAAGACGTACTATACTATGACTTTTTTTCATTATTTTGGAAGACATACTATGCTATGACTTTTTTTCATGGTTTTTGATGACATACTATACTATGACTTTTTTCATAGTTTTTTTGACGACATGCTATACTATGACTTTTTTCATGGTTTTTGATGACATGCTATACTATGACTTTTTTTCATGATTTTGGAAGACATGCTATACTATGAATTTTTTCATGATTTTGGAAGACATACTATACTATGACTTTTTTTCATTATTTTGGAAGACATACTATACTATGACTTTTTTTCATGATTTTGGACGACATATTATACTGTGACTTTTTTCATGATTTTTGACGACATACTATACTATGACTTTTTTCAAGGTTTTTGACAACATACTATACTATGACTTTTTTTCATTATTTTGGACGACATGCTATATTATGACTTTTTTCATGATTTTGACGACATGCTATACTATGACTTTTTTTCATGATTTTGGACGACATACTATGACTTTTTTTCATGATTTTGGACGACATGCTATACTATGACTTTTTTCATGGTTTTTGACAACATACTATACTATGACTTTTATTCATTATTTTGGACGACATACTATACTGTGATTTTTTTTCATGGTTTTTGACGACATGCTATACTATGACTTTTTTTCAAGATTTTGGACGACATACTATACTGTGATTTTTTTTCATGGTTTCTGACGACATGCTATACTATGACTTTTTTTCAAGATTTTGGATGACATGCTGCACTATGACGTTTTTTCAAGATATTTGACGACATACTATACTATGACTTTTTTTTCAAGATTTTGGACGACATACTATACTATGAGGATTTTTTTTCAAGATTTTGGATCACATACTATAGCATGAGTTTTTTTTCATGATTTTGGACGACATGCTACACTATGATGTTTTTTTCAAGATACTTGACGACATACTATACTATGACTTTTTTTTCAAGATTTTTGACGACATACTATAGTATGAGGTCTTTTTCATGATTTTGGACGACATGCTATACTATGACTGTTTTTTCATGATTTTGGACGATATACTATACTATGCCTTCTTTTTCAAGATATTTGACGACACTGTACTATGAATTTTTTTCAAGATTTTTGACGACATACTACACTATGACTTTTTTTTCAAGATTTTGGACGACATGCTATACTATGACTTTTTTTCAAGATATTTGACGATATACTATACTATGACTTTTTTTTCAAGATTGTTGACGACATACTATACTATGAGATTTTTGATGACACTACTATGTTTTTTCATGATTTTGGACGACATGCTATAGTATGAGTATTTTTCATGATTTTGGACGACATGCTATACTATGACTTTTTTCATGGTTTCTGACGACATACTATACTATGACTTTTTTTTCAAGATTTTGGATGACATTTTTTCAAGGTATTTGACGACATACTATGACTTTTTTTTCAAGATTTTGCATGACATGCTATACTATGACTTTTTTTTCAAGATTTTGGACGACACGCTATACTATGACTTGTTCTTAAGATATTTGACGACATACTATACTATGACTTTTTTTTCAAGATTTTGGATGACATGCTACACTATGACGTTTTTTCAAGATAGTTGACGACATACTATGACTTTTTTTTTCAAGATTTTGGACGACATACTATAGTATGAGTTTTTTTCATGATTTTGGACGACATACTATACTATGACTTCTTTTTCAAGATATTTGACGACACTGTACTATGAATTTTTTTCAAGATTTTTGATGACATACTACACTATGACTTTTTTTTTCAAGATTTTGGACGACATGCTATACTATGACTTTTTTTTCAAGATATTTGACGACATACTATACTATGACTTTTTTTTCAAGATTGTTGACGACATACTATGATGTTTTTTCTCAAGATTTTTGATGACATACTATACTTTGACTCTTTTTGTGGTTTTTGACGACATACTATACTATGACATTTTTACATGATTTTGGATGACATGGTAAACTATGACTTCTTTTCATAGTTTTTGATGATATATTATGCTATGATGTTTTTTCATGATTGATGACAATATACTGTACTATGACTTTTCTTTGATATTTTTATGGCATACTCCACTATGAGTAAATAATAACACAGAACAGGATTTAACTTTATTATCACTCGCAGGTACAGGTATACACACAATGAAATGCAGTGTACTTCTTAACGAAAAGTGCAAAAAGCACTGAAGCATAGAGTAATGTACAGAGTACACACAAAATAAAATACAGCGTGTGAGATAAACAGTTAGGGGTGTGAATACAATTCATTTTACGGTATGAACAGTGGCTGCATTTCAGATTGCACACTGATTCTTTTTACCTTCAGTACGTGCTGCAGCTGCTCTTACAACGTACATACTGTTGCATGGACAGTTGGGACATTCTACTTCATCATTAACATTGCACTTTGAACTTTGACCCTTTTCTGCATTTATCCATCGCAGTCTGTAGCATAACATGTAAAATAAAAAGAAACAGTATGCGATTTGGAACACATCAGAACTTAACAGTATCACTTAAAGAAATACTTCATCCATAAAATGACCATTTGTATGACAATTAGTGATGCTGAATTCATGATGAGAACAGACCATGGCAAACACGCTGATTTATTGGGGACCACCTTTAACAACGCAAAACACAAGTATAATCAAAGTCTCATTTATCCAGCTGGATGCTCAGTACTTCCCAAACACTGTAGTTTTACTTAAATGTTACTATATAAAACTGAACTGAGAGTGAAAATCACCTCTGCTATTTGCAAAGCCATACTAATGTTGTGTTCACACCAGGTGCGAATAAGGCCATCCCAGTATTTATGGTATGCTGCATTTGACGTACTGTATATGGGTATTGGAATGTAGTGAGTATTAATAGTGTTCAGCACAGTGACAGCTGAGGGGAACAAGACGCTGTCCTGAACCTGGTGATTGTGGAGTGTAGAGTCCTGCAGTGCCTCCCAGAGGGAACTCTCATCCCAGCCACAGAGATTTGTCTTTGACGATGCTGAGCGCCGTCTGCAGACACGACTTGGGCTAGACAGCCTTGATGGCAGGAAGTGGCGAAGCAGTGATGTCTAGGGCATTTTTCAGAAACCTGCTTCCTGGTCAGAGACAGAGCGGTTAGAGACAGAGTGGTTAGAGACAGAGCGGTAAGAGACAGAGTGGTTAGAGACAGAGCGGTCAGAGACAGAGCACGATGTGAGGACCTGCTCAATGATCAACAATGTGTTTCAGGACCAACACTGCAATCAACCAATCACAGCCCTCTGACATCATGAGCATGCTGCTCCTGTGCTTTTTTGCGTCTTCAGTAACATTGAACAAAAACCCTAATAAGCTACTGTAGGGTTAGCGAGTTAGCCTGCTAACTAGGCTGGCTACATTTGCATATTACAAATATAATGTGTAATATCTGAATATAAGAGCAAAGATCTCTGGACTGCTCCCCTCACTCTGTAATCTGGTTGTGATTAACAGCCACTTCCACAGGCCCGGACATGATTACCGGGGTGACGAAGAGATCCTCGACAAGAAGCTCACAATCAGACAGCAACCCAGCGAGAACGGCTGCCGTCTCACCCACAACTCCTGATTCATGGGAGGAAGACTGGAGGCTGCACACACCTGCTGCTGCTCCTCTCAGTCCCCTGAGCCAAGGTGAGGCAGCTCCAGGCACAGCAGCACTGCACTGAGACAAAAAAAAAAAAAAAAACTCATCTCATTAACACGCTGGCTGAGTGGAATTCATTAAATGTTTGCACCATCTTGGAAATTTGCATCTGTTGCAGAAAGTGTCAGAATCACTTTAATCTGCATGACTTGGTCCGTCCGCTCATGTAGCATTAATGCTCACTTCAAAAGACGGAAAAAAATATTCACTCTAGTGGCGTCTCCCCAACGGAGGAGAGAGGAATTCAGTTTGTGGCTGAAAACAACAGGTAATTTTATTTATAGAATTCAGCAGCAACACGTCTTTACAGACACTGTGGATAATCCACTAGAGACAGTTTTCATCTGCACTACTTTCTACCAACGACATAATGTCTGTCAGGAGATACTGGACACCGATTCTGGAAAGACAGAATCAAATTTCATTTTAGCAATTTGAGCACCAGAAACTTAATTCCTTTCACCTCCATCCAAAACTGTCTGCACTGAAAGATACCTCCAGAGTATCTTATTATTTCAACATCAATAAAACAAAATGTCAGCATATACAGCAGCCGTAGTCACTGAATTCTGACTAAAGTGATCTTTGTTTTAGCTAAAAATAAAAAACGTGTTTCAAATGTACTGTTCAGAACAATAGTGGATACACGTTACAGCTTTTTAGCAGACGGATAAATAAAACTCTTTACAGGAAAATATGACCTGAGCCAGGCTATTAAAGGGAAATTTCGGTTTATTTCAACCTGTCTCCTGTCGTCCTAAATTTGTTTCAAGTGACTAGTGACATAAAAATAATAGTTAGCATGTTAGCCATTAGCCTAGATACAGCTGAAGCGTCAGACCTGTTAAAACGTAAGTGAACGGGCAACCTTCAAGTGCAAAGTTAGTCCACTAAACAAGCTTTTTTTCCACAAAGACCGCCTCATATCGTTAGGATAAATGTCAGAGAACATATAGAAAACGACATGTAAACATGTTGTCTTACCTTACCGGTGTGCTGCCATGTTTGTTTACCATTTAGCTCTGCTTTCCAAAGCGCAGCCGAAATATATCTGGCGAGCTCTAGATAAAGCCCAGCTGGATACTACTCCAGGTGGAGGTGTCTCGTCCTCGGTCACATCCAGACCTTGAAAATAAGGCTGCAACCGGTCCCATTCCTTGCAACAGAGGCATTCCTCTTCTGTGGGCACTGGGGCACAGCATTCACAGGTACACCACCAATCTCCAGAGCTACGCAGCCTTGCAGCAGCCATTCCTCCTCTCTCGTCCTCTACCTGTTGCGCCTCTCTCTCTCTCCTCCTCCGTTCTTCAATTTCACGAAGCTCTTCGTCAGTGTATTCTGGCTCAAATAAATAAGGGCGGCCATCAAACTCTGCAAAATCAAATTCCTCCTCCACAAAGTCGAAGTCTGGCAAAAAGTCAGCCATTATTCTATAAATCTTTCATAAAATAAATGAATGAACTTTTCAGGCTACTGTCCGGTTCTGCCTTCCAGCTGTTGCTGCTTGTTCTCGCGAGATTTCAGGCACGGTATGAGATCGCTGCTTGTTCTCGCGATATTTCGGCCGCGCTTTGGAAAGCAGAGCTAGATGGTAAACAAACATGGCAGCACACCGGTAAGGTAAGACAACACGTTTACATGTTGTTTTCTATATGTTCTCTGACATTTATCCTAACGATATGAGGCGGTCTTTGTGGAAAAAAAGCTTGTTTAGTGGACTAACTTTGCACTTGAAGGTTGCCCGTTCACTTACGTTTTAACAGGTCTGATGCTACTATGCGCCCCGGCTGTATCTAGGCTAACGACTAACATGTCACTAGTCACTTGAACCAAATTTAGGACGATAGGAGACAGGTTGAAATAAACCGAAATTTCCCTTTAAAGAATACTTCACATGATCGTTTGTATTACAGTTACTCAACAACATCCTGGGAGCTGCTTCAGTGAAATGATGGAGAAAATTGTCCAAATGCACATCTGTCTTCACCTTGACTTAATTTTACTTTGTTTATATATTTGATAATCAACACTGATTTTTAACAATATCTAACCTCTCTGCTGCAGGACAGGCAACTCAACATTCCACAACATTGTCATCAAATTCACAAGGAAGCCGAGTCACCTCCGTCAAACCAAGGTCAGAGATCGGGGCCTCCACCCGAACACCAACTGTAACCTCGCACACAACGGCCGAGGCTGAATCTGAGGAGGAGCTGCAGGAAAGGTCTGAGACGGCAGAGAAAGGTCCGTGTGTGGATGAAGAGCTGGCAGACAGCTCGCAGGAGAAACACACAGATGGTAGAGTTTGGAGTTAAATTATAAAAATACAAGCTGCATGCTGTGTTACTTTCTTACCTTCTCTCTTCTAATTTGCCATCGAGGCGCCTTCTGCCTCTTCACTCTTCATCGACTTGCCAGGTTAAATTAAATCTGAATAAAATTAATACATTAAGCAGGTTTCTCTCGTGGGTTCAATAACGTTAATTATATTTAAAAGGCTATAGAAGTTAAATGAAGTAATCTATGACCTGTAATGACAGCCAGAAGAAACACCAGCCCATAACGGACATTAACAGTAAATTCACATTTTCCCAATACAGAGGAGTAAACTGGATAATTACAACAGAAACATTCACTAAGGAGCTGAAACACCAGCACGCTGAGTGCTAAGTCTAATTAATTTAATGTTTCATGGCTTGGCAATGGTTTCTTCCATCAAAGCCAACGCCTGAGGAGGTTTCCTTTTTCCTTCAGCATAGAGTACGCCTCCTAAAAGTCATGAATCCAGCAAGTTCCCTGGTAAACACAGCGACTCGAGACCAGAATCACCAGAAGCAAAGGAAGGAAGAGTCGACAGGATGAAAATGTTTCTGAAAAATGACCAGTTAATCACCTTCTCCTCCATGTTTATCACGGACTGATATTTACAGAAGAAGGAAAAGATATCTGTCGGCTGTGATTGGCTGGTCCTCGTCACATGATACGTGCTGTTTTGCCCTGAAAAACAGGTGCTGCGATGGCATCGCTTTTGTGTTCGAGCACACCTTCCACCCATCTGCACTGAAAACAATGATATTTGAGGGCCCAAAAACCACTGCATGTGTACGGCCCCTTACACTGGCTGCTAGCTTGGTTAGCACAGTGTATTTACAGCTCTGCTTAACTGTCATAATGCTAATACTAATTTTCGCTAGCTAAAAACAGGCCTTAAAGGGAAATTTCGGTTTATTTCAACCTGTCTCCTATCGTCCTTAATTTGTTTCAAGTGACTAGTGACATACAGATAATAGTTAGCATATTAGCCGTTAGCCTAGATACAGCCGTAACCTTCAAGTGCAAAGTTAGTCCACTAAACAAGCTTTTTTTCCACAAAGACCGCCTCATATCGTTAGGATAAATGTCAGAGAACATATAGAAAATGACATGTAAACGTGTTGTCTTACCTTACCGGTGTGCTGCCATGTTTGTTTAGCATTTAGCTCTGCTTTCCAAAGCGCGGCCAAAATATATCTGGCGAGCTCTAGATAAAGCCCAGCTGGATACTACTCCAGGTGGAGGTGTCTCGTCCTCGGTCACATCCAGACCTTGAAAATAAGGCTGCAACCGGTCCCATTCCTTGCAACAGAGGCATTCCTCTTCTGTGGGCACTGGGGCACAGCATTCACAGGTACACCACCAATCTCCAGAGCTACGCAGCCTTGCAGCAGCCATTCCTCCTCTCTCGTCCTCTACCTGTTGCGCCTCTCTCTCTCTCCTCCTCCTCCTCTGTTCAGGCGACCGTCCGGTTCTGCCTTCCAGCTGTTGCTGCTTGTTCTCGCGATATTTCGGCCGCGCTTTGGAAAGCAGAGCTAAATGGTAAACAAACATGGCAGCACACCGGTAAGGTAAGACAACACGTTTACATGTCGTTTTCTAAATGTTCTCTGACATTTATGCTAACGATATGAGGCGGTCTTTGTGGAAAAAAAGCTTGTTTAGTGGACTAACTTTGCACTTGAAGGTTGCCCGTTCACTTACGTTTTAACAGGTCTGACGCTTCAGCTGTATCTAGGCTAACGGCTAACATGCTAACTATTATCTGTATGTCACTAGTCACTTGAACCAAATTTAGGACGATAGGAGACAGGTTGAAATAAACCGAAATTTCCCTTTAAACCACTGACACAAAATGTACTCAAACTCCTTAGAGAATCTTTTAATACAAGCAGGCATGGACAAGACTTTTTTCGGTGACTGCAACGTTACAATTAACTTTTATGAACTGAAAAAGCACTAAACTAGTGACAGCTACGGTTTCCAACTTTACTCTGTGAATCTGGGGGTCACTGAAAGTGGACACGCTCCTATGAGTTGTATAAATTTCTGCTGCAAAGTTGGGCATTTTAACGACTTGACTCGCTCTTGGAGCCAGCCTCAAGTGGCCATTAGAGGAACTGCAGTCTGTGGCACTTCTGTTGGCTTCATTTTCAGCCCAGAGGTTGATGCTTGGTCTTGTGTTGGAGGTAAAGTTGGGTTCAGGTTAGGAAACACCTAGTCCCGTGTCACCAGACCTAACTCCACAGCACTGTCTTAGCTCTAGAGGAAGGTCTGGAAGCACCTATTGTCATTCTGGTAAAGAGGGGGGAAAAACACGGATGTATAAAGAGACCTGTGTTGGAGGCAGGATCCTGTTCATTCCTATAAAAGCTGCTCAGTGGCACACAAAGCCGAAAAAGCTTCATGAAATAATCAAACTATGAAATTACCTGCATCTTCTGACCGAAGAGCAGGTGCACTAGAGACTTACAGTGGCTGAACATGATCAAGTGCAGCCGACTGGCTAACTAGGTTGGATATCCTGATATTCCTGACAGTGAAACAAGTCATTTCACGGGGGTGTTGACACTCAAAAAAAAAATGTATCCACAGATTTACAGATGTATGTCTGTGTGAAAAAGTCTTTTTGGACCCCATGACATCAGGTGACGTTGAGGCTGAAGAACAATCTGAAGGAAGAGCAGCATTATTTTATGTTTTAGCAGACGAATGAGTCGACAGCTTGGTCTCTTACCTCAGGAAAAAAAAGGTTAGGGTCCTCTGTCCATCCAGCTGTTATCTGCTGCTCTTTCAGCTCTGGTGTCACTAGGTGCTGCAGAGCTGTCCAGATATCCTCCTGTCCACACGCGTCCTCCAGCTCCTCCTGAGGGATCCTGAGCAGATGGGCTTTACAGATGGGTCACAAATTAAAGGACGAACGTGAATAAACAAAAGCAGATGCTTCCATACAAAACACAAGAGCTCGCTGAAGGATGTGATAAATATGAAAATGATGGGAATCGTGTCACCAACTTTCAACCCCACTGAACACCCATGGGGTACAGAGGAAGCAGCATCCTTTCCTTTGATTGACACTTATAGCTCATAATCAGAGTTGAGGGATGGAACGCAGACGACAGGTTGAATCAAAATATTGGAACAGACACCAGATGCAAATGTTTTATGATGCAGAACTGTAATTGCAATTTTAATGTCACCAAACAATGCATTGTGGGTTATTCTTCTTACCTGTAGTGTTGTTCATAGGGGTGGGAATCTCTAGGCACCTCACGATTCGATTAAACTCTGATTCTGAGGGCAACGATTTCGGTTATAAAATGATTCTGGATTATAAAAAGAGCCAATAAGAAAATTTACACTAGATACTGAAAAACATTATTGTAATAAAACTGGGAACACATATCCAGTGCATACAAACTGTATTACTTACTGTGGTTGAGATGACTACGCTCCACCAGTCTCCTCCGGTCCATCCTCCTCATCCACACGTTGACCTCCTCGACATTTCTCCTCCAGTATTTACAAAACTATAACTGACTATAATATGAACTATAAAAATATGTACTATTGTAAAAAAAAAAAAAGACGAACGATGGCAAAACTACGAACTATGGTGAAAACACTCAAAAACACGGCATAAATCACTCCAACTTGCACCCTCCTCGTCAGCTGTCACTCTCCCCCTGCTGTGTGCACTCCCCTCCCCTCCTTCACAGGTAATGATACCATATATCACTGGAAAGCTCCGCTGCTCAGCTTTCAGAATACGTTTGAATTACGTCAATAGTGCGGAGGGTCGAGGAGTTACGGTAATATTAACAATAAATATAAAAATAAAATTAAAATCGATTATGAGTTTTCCACATTGATGCTCACATCGTTCAAGACAGAATCTCGATGCATCTAAAAATCGATTTTTTACCCCCCACCCCTAGTTGTTTATCAGTCTGGATAGTTTTGGTGTGAGTTGCAGAGTGTTGGAGATATCGGCTGTAGAGGTGACTGCCATCTCTCCAGTATCATGAAACTAGACAGCACTCATCTTGTGGTGCTCAAAGCACCAAATAAATACATTTGGAAAACTCAACAGCAATGTGTCTTCATGTTTCATGTAGGAACCATTTTCCTTCTACTGGACTACACAGCGCAGGAAGAGGTGTAAATCTCCTGCTAGCTCGCCTAGCACCGCTGAGCTAGCTAACGTTACAGTTCAGCCAAGGGGTGCGCCATTAATGTTTGCATCTTGTCATCTCGTCTATGAGTCGAAGCATGCTTCCCTCTGGGGTAAAATTCTGGGCCAGTACTGATCCTAATGTTTTTGTCATTTATTTTTATTCATTTATTCTTATTTATTGTCCTTTGGTGCCAACGATAAAAAGAAATATTGATTATGAAATATGTTGTACAGTGTCCTCCATCACACTACCTACACGTGTGAAACAACCTTTAAAATAACCTTGTTTCACACGAAAAAACCTTTTTTCTTAAATAAACTACCTCAGAAGCCTTTTTACTACAGATAATACGTCATAATTCCCTCTCTAATATCTATTTTATAAACTGTGAAAACAACACATTTCCCCTAGCCTGGTTCCAGACCAAAGACCCCGCCCACTCAACTGAGTAGGCTTGCATCTCTGGTCTGGCATACTGCAATGAATTTGCGATTTATCTTGTCCAAACGATGGAAAGACCAATGAACACCAGGGGTGGGGGCGGGTCTAGCGATTAGCCAATCAGCGCCACGCTGATGTCAAGCTGTGCGCCGGTGGGTAACTGGTGAGGATAGCAACAATGGCGACCGCTACAGATCCTACAGAACACAGTAATGATGCTATCGAGGTATTTCGCCACTACTCGCGTTAATGGAGGACCACATGAACGGGCAATGCTCGCTTGTTTTCTGCACCCTGGTGGCATGGATACTAATGACGTCAGACTCTGGGTGAGTCGTTGATCTCTACTGATTGGTTAGGGAAAAATCAAATTCCCTCCCACTTGTAAATCGCTTTCAATGGAGGTGATGTCAGACTGAAGGTTCTGGGAGCTTCAGTCTGACACTCAGGCTACATTTTTCCTTCAAACAGCTGAATTTATTCAAGTTTTTCCACCAAAAACTGCATTTTACAAGACTACATTTGAACACATCATACTTGGCCCAGTACTCATTTTTACTAAATGGGGCTTGAATGCATCATAATGTAACTCAATGAAACCTCCATCGGCTGTTAGATACAGCCACCAGCTGCTAAAAGCAACAGCTAACAGCTAACGTTAACTAGCTCTCCTGCTGTTTTTAACACAAATGTGTTGGTCACATTGTAGCATTATCAGAGAAACAATAGGGTGCGACAGCGTCTTGGGGAAGATCTCTGTTTGTCACAAACACATTTTCTATTGTCCCCTTGGACGATAGGATGCTGTGAGTCGTGACGCCTTGTTTTTTTAGCCGCAATTATTTAGCGCAAACTTGATGTGCCACAACACAAAAACATCGCCCACTGAAAAAGGTGAATGTCATCTCATTCACTGATAGGCTGATGGAAGTTAACAAGGTAAATATCAGCCGATACCGATGTGCTGCCAATATCTACGCAGTAATACAGTTGGCAGGTGTAGCTCAGTAAAAAGAAAATTGTTCCTACATGAAACTGCTCACAACATAAACAGCACTACAGGTAAAGAAATATGTTTTTTATTTTGTGGTGAACTGCCCCTTTAAGAGAAGTGTGCAAACATGGCTCAAAGAGTCAACAAGAAAGCCCTGGAATACTTTCTGATTTCACAGTGGGACTTGGCAGGAGCGTGCATCAAAGTCTGAGTCAGTGAGGAACTGGACTTGTTTCATGCTTCATTTTAACATCACTCACCAACAAAACCCAGAGATATTTATACTCGTACACTTGAGGCAAGAGTTTGCGCACACACCGAAGGGACACTCCACCATCTCTCTGGAGTGCCCCGTCAGATTTCAGCACCGACAGTCTGGCCTCAGACCTCAGGGTGCTGCCTCTCATCTCAGCTGCTTCACACTCAGCTGCTGCCCCCTCCTTGTGCACACCGGAGGTTAAGGTCTGATGAAACCAGCACAACTGCATCACTTGTAAAAAGCAGAGATGACTCAAGGGAGCTGTAACCTAACGGGCCATGAGGCTTTGACAGCACACCTACAGCAGGACACAAGAGTCTCTTTACTAGCAGCTAAAAACACCGTCCAGTCTCTGCAGAGTTAAGCTCCTTCAGTGCGGACTCTTCTAACTCGATATTGCTCATGATATTTTGCACACAAATCATATCTTCACTGTCCCTCTCTGGTGTTAATATTAAGCTCTCTGAAGCTGCTGTGGTTCACATTTTCCTACATGTTGTTGTGTGTTGGCAGACTGGGACGTGGCTCAGAAGAGGACGGTGCCTTTCTTCGCCTGGTCGCTACTGGAGTCTGTTGGGTTGTCGGACATACAACTACAGCCAGACAGCAAAGGTAGGACTGAAGAACTTTTTGGCTGCATGTCACAGACAGAGTAAAGGTTTCTCCTCTTTCTCTGAAAATGTTCTGCAGACAAAAAATTGCTATAGCCCTTTAATTAGGCACCTTAACTGCATTTTTATGCCCCCGCACTGGCGTCTGTCCGTTCCATTGGCGTGTGAGCGTGTTAAAGACTGAGTAGCAGGTGGCCCCTTGTATAGTAGCCTCGGCCACCAGTGTATGAACTAGATGACTAGGAAGGGGCTATACAAATGCAAGTCCATTTACCATTTACTGTTCTCAGGAAAGCTTTTAGCTTTGGCACAAACGTCCACCTGGAGTCAACAATGAACTGATTAATTTTGGTGATCAAAGGTCAAGGTCACAGTGACAATGCACCCATCTCATTCTCGTCAATATGACATGTCAAGAAGCCCTTGGGAGAGTTTATCAAAATTTGGCACAATTGTCCTCTTGGGCTTAACAGTGAACTGATTAGAATTTGCTAGACAAAGGTTAAGGTCACTGTGACCTCATGTCCATCTCCTTTTCATGAACACAATATCTCAAAAACTTCTTGAGAGAATTTCACATCTGTCTCATTCTCATGAACACGATATCTCAAGAAGTTCTTTAGAGAATATCCTCACCTTTGGCACAAACGTCTACTCAAACTTAAAGATGAACTGATTGGAATTTGGTAGACAAAGGTTAAGGTCACTGTGACCTCATATCCATCTCCTTTTCATGAACACAATATCTCACAAAGTTCTTAAGACAACATCCTCAAATTTGGCACAAACATCTACTTAAACTTAAAGATGAACTGATTAGAATTTGGTGGACAATGGTCAAGGTCACTGTGACCTAACATCTATCTCAGTCTCATGAACATGATATCTCAATAAGTTCAATAAGTGAAATAACCTTTTCAAATTTGGCACAAACATCTACTTGGACTTAATGATGAACTGACTGGAATTTGAAGGTCAAAGGTTGAGGTCACTGTGAGCTCACGTCGGCCTCATTTTGGTGAATGTGATATCTCGAGACCACCTTGGGGGAACTTTCTTCAAAGGTCAAAGGTCAACCCCACTGTGACATCATAATGTTCTGCATAATACAATTTTCTGGCCATTAATCAGCGTCATATCTCAGGAACAGAAGGGAAGACATTTGATCAGATACTGAATTGGTGACTCTAATCTTGGATGTCCATCTTGAAATGGTGTTGATTGTAAAGATCCTCTGTGCTGCCGCGGGGAAGATGTGTGATGCATCCAGGATTTAGAATTTGTAACTTCTTTACAGCAACATCCATATTTGAAGCATTGTCTTCTGCCATGGCTACATGAGTCTGGACAGACATGGATGTAACTTTAACTGCAACTTGACTGGTTTGCAGAGGCAAATAACTGCAAGTCGGTAATTCTAGTTACAGTGTCTAAATCTTGTTTGCATGTGTTCAGTAGTTTAAATGTACTAACCTGAGTTCCCTCCTATCATCTCTGAAGAGTGCAGTCGCTCCTTCACCCTGTACGGCAGCGACGGGCGAGCCAGACGGGAGATGCCGGCTCTGGGGGAGATGCTTCACTGTCTGACGGGACGCTGCCCGCATGAGTACGAGATGTACGGCTGCTACTGTGGACAGGAGGGTGGGGGGCAACCGCGGGACCAGCTGGACAGGTCAGCAGCTGCAGGATGAGGACGGATGATGTTATAGCTGATGCAGATACAGTCTGTGTCAGCAACACAAACATGGAAAGAGAAATAAAGTTTAGATTTTGTGATGAAAAGTTAAAGAAACAGATACGATGGGAGAAGACTACAATGACTTGTTTTTCTCCTAATATTGACATTCACAGTTTCTCGGGAGGTGGAGATCCTTGAGGTTTCACAAGCATATTGAACGCATTTCCTCGGTCATAGAACATTTACTATGTTTTTCTTTTTCTGAAAGAAATAGTCAGATTCATTATAAATAATTTATCTAGCTACACTGAACAAAAATATAAACGCAACACTTTTGTTTTTGCTCCCATTTTTCATGAGCTGAACTCAAAGATCTAAAACATTTGCTATATACACAAAAGACCATTTCCCTCAAATATCGTTCGCAAATCTGTCTAAATCTGTGTTAGTGAGCATTTCTCCTTTGCCGAGATAATCCATCCCACCTCACAGGTGTGGCATATCAAGATGCTGATGAGACAGCATGAATATTGCACAGGTGTGCCTTAGGCTGGCCAGAGGTGGGATGGATTATCTCGGCAAAGGAGAAGTGCTCACTAACACAGATTTAGACAGATTTGTGAACAATATTTGAGGGAAATGGTCTTTTGTGTGTATAGAAAAGGTTTTAGATCTTTGAGTCCAGCTCATGAAAAATGGGAGCAAAAACAAAAGTGTGGCGTTTATATTTTTGTTCAGTGCAGAAACTCAGAAGATGTTTCCAGCCACGGTAAAAACTGCCTTGTGTTTAATGGCCACTGCCTCCTGCAGTTGGCATGGATGTGCATCCTCCTGCATGTGCCGTGAAGCACAAGAAACCAAACAAAGAGGACGGGCTCATAAAAACATCTTTTTATAGCACTACCAGCGGAAAAAATCTCCACTGGGTACCTTTGAAGTTTAGATGATTTGTCCATGCTGTATGAAGCTAACAAGGTACCTTCTCCATCACCTCTGCTGCTCTCCATCAGGTGCTGCTTCTTCCATCACTGCTGCCTGAAGCAGATCAGCTCCATGGGCTGCAGGTCACACAGAAAGCTCAACGCTCAGATCTCCTGCGAGAGCGGGAAACCACGATGTGAGTACAGCTGAGGGGTATTCCAGAAAGTGGGTTTAGTGAAAACTCTGAGTAAGTTTACCCTGAGATGAGGGAAACTCTGGGTTTTCAGTTCCAGAAAGAGAGGTAAATCAAACTGTGAGTCAATCACCATGGCAACTGAGTCTGTGGGCCTAACCTGCTCGCTGGCAGGTTTTCTTCAATAAACCCTGAGTTTTTCTCTGTCTCCTCCCTCTTACAGGCTGTTTCATTTCCTCATTCATTCAGTCCATGTCAGAGCTTGTATCGAAGCGCATTCATTAGCGGAGATTTACCGTCTGTCACAGTCTAAATCCTGCTGGATATTACTTTGTTACTCAGGACTGTCTGAAGTTACTGAATTTATGCACATCAATCATTTCTTTGGACATCAGCTTTTGTCTTTACATTCAAATATTACACAGCGAGAATTCACCCTCAGCTCAGAATCAAACCTCTGTCCTTTTTATATTTATTATTTTTATAACACTGTGCACAAGGATCAGACTGTCAGTCTGTTAGAGCAGCTCCCAAATGTTTATTGCACATAATGTGTAGGTCTAATTATTTAAATGTTAAAAATGGGTATGAAGCTTTAGACACGTAGTATCAATGACTAATGATCTCTATCACTGATGTCATTGGTCGCACTGATGGAACATAATTCCTATAGCCTAATATTGGGGATTATATGTTCATATTTCTGAGTGAGCAATGGTGCAGCGTTTCACTGTCTTTACATTTACTACATTTGTAGCTGAAATAAAGTCACTGAATGCTGTTGAGTCAAGATACAAATAGATGTCCAGCATTTTAAAATCTACTGTATTTTAACCTCAACGTCTTTAAGTGCAAACCACCAAACATATTATTACTGGGTCAGACTGTGAGTTTACAGTCATGTCTTTATGTCTTTGATCTATAGCCTAGCCTATATGTTTTAAATCTTCTGCCTCCTGTGTTTTTCCCCATCAGATTAAATCTGAACAAATATATTATTATATATTATTAATATAATGTAATGTATCTACAGCCTGATACACAGTCAGATTCCACCACTTGATCTTCATTAAGGAAATGTAAGTCTGATAAATGATGAATACACTTTTTTATTAACTTTATGGTTAACTTATTGACACTTTCCTCGCTCTGACTCAGGCTCTTCTTTTAAAGATAAACGTGCACCGTCTGCTACACATGCATTAATATCTCTACATCCACTGGATTAAAATGGAGGCGCTGTCTTTTATTTACCTGTTTCCATGGTGAATCGTGGAGTCGGAGCTCCATTGATGATGGCTTTTTATTGTCAGCTTAACTCAGAGTGAACATACTCAGAGTTGACTGAACTAACTCAAATCAGCTGTTCTGGAACCGGTAACTCAGAGTTTCCCATCTCAGGGTAAATCAACTCAGAGTTCAGGGATAGACACAGAGTATGTGGAACCTCCTACCTGGAATACCCCTCAGGTCTGCTGAGAACACAGTAACATAAATCTTTGTTTGAGCACAGGAGGACAGTGAAGTAACAACTAAAGTACCTTAATCTGAATCTTATGTCAGATCTGTTCTGGAGGTCTCATGTCAGCATCCAAAAAGAAGCTCGGATTTTTTGTCTACAGAAACTCTAATGCAAGTCCAACCTGCAGCTGCCACAGCTGAGTGTTGAAGCTTTTAGTTACAGTTTCTCTTGTTCATGCTAAATGTATTGATTCTGCGTATGATTTCAGACACTCTACAAGTAATTTTATTGTTTTTAATCTGAGTTTTAGAGTGTGTTTATTTAGTTGTCAACATTCACTTCAACTAAGGCTTGAAAAACACCAAACTTACCTCTTTTTGTGAAGCAAACCCGCAGGGGTCACATAACCTCGCTAATCTTGCTTTTCTATCAGAGTCTGCTGACTTTCAGATTTCTTCCACTTCTTTTGCTAAATACCTTTCCTTAACCTCACGTTAATCATTGCCATTTCTTCCTCAGGTCAGGGCGTCACCGTGTGTGACAAGCTGCAGTGTGTGTGTGACAAAACGACTGCAGAGTGCATGGCAGCGGCCCACTTTAACCACAGCCTGCCGGCGCAGCAGTGCCGCGGCCCCGGACCACCCTGCCGCCGGGCCAGCAGACCCCCCAAACCACGGCTTTCCCCTCAGTCCAGTGAGGAGAGTGTGGAGCTGCAGGGAGGAAACTCTGACATAAATTTCGTCACACAGGACACATCGACAAACACACCTCCACCACGCCAAGTTCAAAACAGGTGAGTGAGAAGGAACTTAAGTAAATTACATGTGACCTTGATGTTAGCATATAACCATCAGTGGCGTGCCTGGTGCAGATGACCACATAGAGAAATCTGTCACAATTTGACATCAGTTTGACTTTTCGTAACTGTTTTAAATGAGAATTAAGTTTTTTGCTCGCTGTTTTTGCGTTGCTACACGCCTCGCACGCTCTGAACCACAGTTACCACCATCTCGAGTGCAGTACAGTAAACGTCCATGATGGAGGAGAAGCTCCTGGACCAACTGGTGGTACTCCCCATGATCCAGCCTCTTTTTTAGGGTCTCATGTACCCACACAGATCTCTGTTTATCTGCTGACAGCCTCTCACCCTCAACCAGAGCTACAGACAGCACCCTCTGCCTCAACATGGCAGCAACTACACACTGATTACTGGAAGATAAATAAAAACGAAAATTAACAGTAGATTGATTACATGGAAATGTTAGTATAAGGAGGTGATGGCATGGTTGCCTGGCAATGATAAAAAGGCGCAGCAAGTGTTTTTTATTATTTTTTATTATACCGATTTAAGTGCTACATATGATTTTGTACAATCGAACAGTGTTGGTATTTTAACCACTGTCTGTCTGCAGTGATGAAAGCTCTGACCTGAAGGACGAAGACAAGCCAAAGAATCCTCCTGCTGGATCGTCGGGCAGCTCCACAGGACCTCCTCCTTCTCCTCCTCCCTCCAGTGAGGAGAGCAGAGAGCCATCGAGACACGATGGGATTCAAACCCACAACCACAGGCCGAGTGCAGGGCAGAGCCAAGGGCACCAACCCGGAGAGACCGGGGTGAAAGAGGAGGAGGAAAAGGAGGGAGAGGAGGAAGAGGAAGAGGGGGGAGGAGAAGAGGAGGAGGAAGAGGAAGAGGAAGAGGAGGAGGAGGAGGGCAACTAAAAGCGAATGCATTGCTTTGTAAAGCTAGCTTTGGGAAGTCATTTTGGGGAATAACTGTTTAAAGATTATTGTCAGATTATTTTGTTTCCAGTAACAGAAGTTCTAATTTATAGAAATGACGTCAAAAATCAAATGTTTACTCTGATTTTTCGGGTTTTCTGTTACAGATTTGTGAACTGGAACGTCTCTTCAGAAAATAAAAAAAATAATAAAAGCAAGCATTCGTTCATTCGTTGTGTCCTCCTTCAAAATAAAGCTGACAGTAATAAAGACATCGCAACTCGTCAATATTGATAGAAACATTTTATTTGAGTCTCGAACATCAATCTCAACACACAATTTACTATTGAACAGAGGCTTTGTAATGAAGCGCTGAGGCTCTGCTGCCAGCGAGGTTAGAGGAAATAATTTAATGACATTTCAGAAACAGATTTGACGTCTGTTGGTTCCACTTGTTATTTAAAGTTAATCCCAATATGATTTCAAAGACTTTAAAAGTAAACTGAAGGATTGTCTGAAAAAAATCATGCTGAAATCATATGTGTGTTAATTGATTAGTTGATATGCAGAAAATAAATGCACCAAAATTTTGCCAACTTTAAAGCAAAAATATTAAATATTTTTTGGTTCCTGCTTCTCCAGTGTGAGGATCTGCTTCTCGTCTTGGTTTAATATCATTAAAATGTTTATATCTCTGGGTTTTAAGTCACTCTGGGAAGTTGAGCTGGAGATTCTTCATTATTTGCGGACTTTTTATTGACTAAACAATCACATGATTGATCCCCAAAACAGAAGGTAGATCCTGGCAATATCAAAACTATAATTAATACCTCACAAATTTATGCCTCTGAACACCAGATACGTTTCTCTTACAGTTTACATCCATGTGTGTGAAAACATGGATGCTTCACACACATCTTCCCCCCGACAGCGCAGAAGATCTACACAATCAGATTAGTGTCACCAATTCAGTATCTGACCAAATGTCTCCCCTTCTGTTCCTGAGACAAGACGCTGAGTAATGGCCAGAAAAGTGTTTTTACAAAACATTGTGACGTCACAGTGAAGCTGAGTTTTGACCTTTTGGGTTTAAAATGTCATCATGTCATCATTTTATCCTCATAATTAGCATGATAATACTTGTGTTATGGCCAGAAATGTTTTGTGAGGTCACAGTGACCTTGACCTCTGACCACCAAAGCTGAATCAAAGTCATTGTTGAGTCCAAGTGGATGTTTGTGCTAAATTTGAAAAAATGCCCTCAAGGTTTCTTGAGATATGGCATTCAGGAGAATTGGACGGACAATCTGCAAACAAAATGCCTACAGCTATCGCCGGTGTAGAGGAACTCAAAACTTTTCAAATACGTAGTCTTCATCAGAGTCAATAACTGGACCTTTGAGTTGAGATTATTTTGTCTCTCATATTGTTCCAAAGGTTGAGAGTAATTGATCATACTTTAAAGGGATAGTGCACCCAAAAATGAAAATTCAGCCATTATCTACTCACCCATATGCCGAGGGAGGCTCAGGTGAAGTTTTAGAGTCCTCACATCACTTGTGGAGATCCAAGGGGAGAGGAGGTAGCAACACAACTCCACCTAATGGAGGCTGACGGCGCCCCAGATTCAAACGTCCAAAAACACATAATTGAAACCACAAAATATCTCCATACTGCTCGTCCGTAGTGATCCAAGTGTCCTGAAGCCCCGACATAAAAAGTTGTTTGGAAAAACGTCATTTGAACTCAAAAACAGGCTAAAAACAGAGTTCAAATGACGTTTTTCCAAACAGCTTTTTATGTCGGGGCTTCAGGACACTTGGATCTCCGCAAGTGTTGTGAGGACTCTAAAACTTCACCTGAGCCTCCCTCGGCATATGGGTGAGTAGATAATGGCTGAATTTTCATTTTTGGGTGCACTGTCCCTTTAAAAACGAAAATTGTTGCAATAAAGAATTGTCGGTTTTTGACTCATGGTCGTCCGTAAACTTCCCAGAGAAAAAACTCACAGGATTATGTTTTTGTTTCAACCTACAAAGTAATGAAACTGTGTCTAACTCAGCTATCTCAAATATTATGCCGATTTTGTCATTTATGATTCAAACTCCCCTCACCAAAACCATATCAAAGTTAAGGTCGTTTTTATCCCTGTAAACTGTGTGAAACTCTACATGTAGGACTTCTGCAGATGTGGAACTGTTCGGAATGAAACAGTAAGTAACTCCTGCTCTTTAATCACACTGAAACCCGTTTTCAGAAGCCGCAGCGGGAGCAGAGCCTCAGCGCCGTCTAGTGGTTAAAATCCTCAGTGTGTTTGAAACAACGCCAAGCTTTTAGCAGTCTGTCACTGTGAAGGCCGAACACAGACGTGACACCTCTGAGCTCTAAAACTGGCACAAAAATACAAACTGCTGCATCACAAACATAAGAAAACATCATCAGAAGCTCGGATTTTTTTTTGTTCTTCTGTTCATTGTTCTGCAGAATTCAGCTGATAAACTGAAAAGTCCATCTTGAAAAGTGACGAATCACGTTAATATTTTTTTTTAAAGCAATTTGTGTGTCCAGCATTTTGACGTAAGGCAGGTCAGCAGTGAAATGATCTCACCCCATTTACTGATTTATTCTCCCGTCTTAATTTTTATCATTTTAAGACTTGACTCTGACTTCAGTCACCAGTCAGGAGGGACTTTTGACAGTTTGACACAGAGTTATTCTTGAATACAACATTTCACAAACTGAACATTTGGGAGAAAAATACCTCTAATGATCAACTTGTACCACGCTCTAATCTGTGCCGATTCATTTTTGCTATAGTACCAGGTACACAGTGATCAAAGTGCAAACATCATATCTCATTCTGACAGTTATTCAGTATAATATTTCATCTGTGACTGATTGACTTAAATCTATTAAATACTTTACCAAAAGTAGTGGAGATGATTCATTCACAGACTGAAGCTTCAGACTGTTCTCAGATCATTTACTTTAATTTAAACTTTATTTATCGATCAGCTTTGACATGAAGTTGCAGCTCAGGACAGATTCAGGTCCAGATTCACTCTAGTATCATACGTATCCATTCTTTGTTAATCTAATTATTTTCAAAATGGGCAAAGCTCTTAAAATTCAGATTGCAGCCAATTTAAAGGACCACAATATATAATGTGGGCATGATATTCTATTTAATTGACGTTTACCAAAATTTTAATCTTCTGACAAAACAGTTTCTGCAGCTTAACAAAAAAATAACTGACAGTGCAACTTGAAAGAAAGTTTAAAATATGACTGGATTTTGTGACTCTCGCTATGATTCTTTAGCTGCATCTGAAATTCCAACCAACATGTTGTTTAGTGCGCTAAAGTATGTGCGATTTTTTAAGTATGTGAAAAACCTTAGCATGAAACAACAGTACATGAATTGGGCACTATTAACAGTGGAATATTACAGTATGAAAATGCTGCACACTACGCTGGCAATCTCAATAACTCGTGAATATAAGTGCAAGTACAAGAGTTCACTTTGCTCGGTGTGATATATTTAAAATTTATTCATACATTTTTCACACCACTGCTGGTAAATTGCCTCCAGTCATAAGCGGTTTCCAACATGGCGGAAGGGGGAATAAAGCGGTTGCCACCACATGCACAGATTTAGCTCTGCCACTCTGACTTCACCATTTTGAAATTTTGGCAGTTGCCGCCTGGCTTTTGACAATTAAAATGCAGCATCACAATAGCAGAAAGAAGACAAGATGGAGGAGCTGATAATGTAGATACTACTGTAGGTAAACTGTCCAAATATGTAGAAATCTTTCAGGCTAATAAAATCGCCCCGATGACGTGAGCTCAACATTCTGTTTCGCTCACTGTATCAGTCTGGACTCGCTCATATCCAGGTATTTAGAGTATATTCCACTGGAGCAAATCAGGGACTGTGCTGTAGTTGATGACGTAAAATGCAGGCGGCAGCTTGCAGAACAGTCATGGCGTCTCATGAAGCGACAAGCGCTAACTCTTATATTGTAAGTGAAATTACTGCAGAAATAGAGTCAAAAACAATTAAACAACAAGTGTATGCAAAAGCATCATTTATCACTTGGCTCCATTTGTGATGAAGAAGACGTACCGGACTGATGCAGAGAGCAAACAGAATGTTGAGCTCACGTCAACAGGATGATCTCACCAGGCTAGAAATCATTGGTAATTTCAGTGATTTCCATTTTCCTGCTACAGTACGGCTGGCTTGCACTTCTGCCAATGTTCACTGAATCACCTGCCTGTCATCGCAGCTGTTGGAGGTGGCCGGTTGTCAGGATGGTTATCACACAGTGGTGTGAAAGCAGCTTTAGAGCTTAAGTCTCAAGGAAAGTCTTAAATATCTTTTATAGGTTTTAAAACTTTTAAAGTTTCCCTGTTTTTTGTTTACATTTTGGCAAACTGGCAAATGATCTGATGGATGCACAGATAATGTCACTGGATTCTTGACTCTGAGACGGAGTACGATTTTTTACTCTAATTGCAGCAATCAGGCGCTAACGTTTTAAAGTGCCTTAATTGCCTCCACGAGTTGTGTGTCACAGACTCTGCTGCTGCTCCAACTGCTGACCGTGTGGGGAAGCGCCTCACAGTTTGAAAACCATTGATTATTTATTTATTTTTTATCATGTGTCAGGCGAAGCAAGAAGTTTTGCAAATAACCTCAATTAAACCTCAGAGATGTGATTATACTGTGAGCTCCACACATGAAACAGGATTTTTCTTTGTTTTCAAGACGCCTAAATGGGTCCAACGCAAACCTCAGGCTTCAGATCACAGAACGTTGCTGTTAAATAGATTTAAAGAGCATCAGAATACTGGTGACGATGATTAAGCAGTTTGCACTTGTTCTAATGTTGATGAAGTGGCTGTTTTGCCCTGTGGTCTTTTAGAGGGTTTGTTTCTAATCTAAAAGCCACAAGAACTGTAAACTGACTCTGCAAATTAATTTTAGTGAATCTGGAGCTGAATCTTCTCAGAAATGATCTCATATCTAAAACTCTGCTGATGAGTCTGAGCTGAAGCTGCAACTTCTGGGAGGAAAATAAAACCTAGAAGCTGAAATCTGCTGATTTACTCTTCTGTTCTCTGTAGTATGCAAAAATAACTGACATCATCTGACTATAGATATAATATTCATTAATTTTTCAGCATATTTGAAATGATATAATGGATTCTACATTAAAAAAAAAATCAAGTAACATTTTCATAAATGAGACCATTTCTCCCGCATTGATAAGAACTGCACAATCCCATTGAAACCCTGAACCGTCCTCTTCATAGTAAACAACACAAATGTAAAATCTTAAAATAAAAGGGGATCAGCATTTGTCTTCATCATGATGAATGTGATCGACAAGTATACATCTCCCAATCTCTAAATCTCTACCAGGCAACAGTTTGACGATACGTGATGCATAAAATGTACAAAAATATATGATATACTGCTATAATGACACATTCATAAAGGAAGTGATCATGTATTCCAGCCACATCTAAGCAAACTGTTCATCTCCTGTGCAAATCGTACTTTCCTCCAAACTCAAATCAGTGACATGTCCCCACTGTGCTGGCTCATTTTACATCAGTTTGAAGAAAGATATGATTTTTAGATTCAGTCGATAAAGTTTGTTTAGATGGATTTATATTCCCAGCGCCCCCTGAGGGGTCGACGACGTCATACTAAGATATCATGCAGTTACTTCATATAATGCATGTTTTTATGTAGAGCTATGATATTAAATCATAAGAGTTAGCATTTAAAGCTAAGACGTTACGCAGCGCAGATATGCACAAAAGATAAAATCGTTTTAATGCATTTTTTTATATACAAAGGAAAAGATCTAAGGTATTTCCATTTCTCTGAATCCTGCCCTTCCTGACAAAAGACTACAAACTCTACAGAAGAACTACGTCTTTAACCAAAACTCACATTGGCTGGTTTGTTC